AAGCCAGCTTTTTGAGTCCTCTGTGGGGACTGCAGTCATAATCCCTCTGCTGTGGTTACTTTCATTTTATTCTATTTTGGTGCCGGGGATAGAACTTTCATACATGCAAAGCATGCCTCCCTCCTCCCCCCGAGCTCCATCTAGGGCTCATTTTTGTTTTTAATGTTCATCTCTGTCATCTCTACACTTGGAAGAGCCTGATTAAGAAAAGAACTCAGTGCGATTTCTTCCCCCTCCTCCAGATCTGTGCTTTGATCCTTGGAGAAAGTTCAAAACAGCTCTCGAACTCAAAGAGAATTGACTCCCTTCTTTGAAGGATTCTGGGCTTCTCAAAGTTAAAAAAAGATTTTAAGCCCCTTTGCTTGCAATCACAACTACGGATATGAAAAATACCAAAGGGGAAAAAACCAATTAAGCTTCGGACTCTCTCATGTTTATTCCCATGTTGAGCCATGGGTGGTCTCAGGGCACGCAATGGGAAGACTTCAGTGCCTTCAGAAGGGCGGGCTTCGTAAGGTCAGAGTTCACAGTAATTGTATCTTTGCTAAGTAGAAGACTTAGCTTTTTCAAAATAAAATTGTCCATTAGATCTTTGGTGGAGGAGAGAATTCTAAGAGATAAAGCAAGTGCAGCATTTTTTTTTAATACTTTGACAAATGAAAGTGCCTGCATAGAGGAGAGAGGGTGGTGGGAAGGATACTGGGGACATTGGTGATGGAAAATGCATACTGGTGGGGGATGGATGTTCTATCATTGTATCGCTGAAACTCAATGAAACTGAGAAAGATCTTTTAAAAATGTGGTATTTGGGCTGGATCGATAGCACAGCGGATAGGGCGTTTGCCTTGCATGTGGTCAACCCAGGTTCGATTCCCAGCATCCCATATGGTCCCCCCCGAGCACTGCCAGGAGTAATTCCTGAGTACAGAGCCAGGAGTAACCCCTGAGCATTGCTGGGTGTGACCCAAAAAGCAAAAAAAAAAAAATAATAAGTGGTATTTGCTAGTGGCCAAGCAAGCCACTAGCCCCTGGCCACCTCTGCTCTAACATCACCTGCAAGCAGTATTTATACTGGGCCTAGGGGAATACAGGTAGAAACAATTCTAGGAGATGCCACCCCTTATTTTCTTTGGATGAAATTTCTCATTTCCTGCAATATTTACAAGTTGAGAGTCGATCTTTTTGCCCATCCTGTCAAAGTCCAGCTGTAATTTTCACCATCTGTCTTAAGCTAGCTTAGCCGGAAAATCAAAACAGAATTTCCAAGAGAATTTTCAAAAACAATCACTCAGACTTCAGTCCCCCTCTTGACCTTCCCTGTCAATTACAGACAAAACTATCCTGGCGTGCATGAAGAGGAAAGCCCCCAAGGACAGCAGAGACAAGGACCAGGAGGATTGCTCCACTGCTTGGAAGCCTACCTCATGAGCTGGGGGAGGAGGCAGGTGGGATAGAGAAGGGATCACTGAGTCAATGATGGTTGGAAGAGTCACTTGGGACGGGAGATATGTGCTGAAAGTAGACAAAGGACCAAACAGAACGGTCTCTCAGTATCTGTGTTGCAAACCATAATGCCCAAAAGTAGAAGGAGAGTAAGAAGGAAAGTGCCTGCCCTAGAGGCCATGGGGTAGGATGGGGTGGGAATGGCGGAAGGGATAGATACTGGGGATATTGGTGGTGGGAAATGTGCACTGGTGGAGGGCTGGGTGTTCAATCATTTTATGACTGAAACTCAATCACGAAAGTTTTCTAAGTATATCTCACAGTGATTCAATAAAAAAAAAATACTTAATGAAAGAAAATAGGGAAGTCCCCCAAATCTTGGTACCACATGGCCATGAATCCCCCATGTCTATTTCAAGGTGAAGCCCCCAGCCTGGCAGAGGCAGATGCATGAGAAATGAAACACGGGAGACTGTGAGACTTTTCAACTTCTCTCCAGAAGCAAGTCCTGGCCTTGGTGGCTATTACCCAGAGCCAGGAAACAGAAGGAAAGCAGAGACCCAGGAAAACAGATTACTTGCTGAAGATTATTCCTCTCTCTTGATTTTTGGCTTCTTCCTTTGGGAGGGGCCGGAAGTGACAATGTTTTCTAAAGCTGGTACCATTTGAAAGCTACTGTTTGGGAAAATGCCAGACCCCTGTCTGGACACATGTGTCTCAAGGAGAACCCAAGGTGATTTGACTAATAACGGCTGGAAGCCCCCAGAGACATCATTAGAATGTCTTGGTTAAAGCCAAACGCAGCCATCAAACGTCATCTCCTTTCTCACTGCAACACCAGGGGACAGCACACAGAATTCAGAGCCTGATCTGAGTGAGCCCCAGCAATGATAAGAGCCAGGATGGTGCTGAGGAATAAGAACTGTGACCACCTACCCGGGGACTGAGAGAGAGATGATTCTAAAGCACGGTGAGAAGGGAGAACTATTTCTCCTCCTGCAGGGAAGGAGATGAAAAGGGCAGAGTAAGCAGGGTAAGAGGTGGGGTGGAGGGGAAAAGTCCAAATAGCTCAACAATTCCACTTGCTGAGAAAGGAGGGGTGAGTGAGAAATATGGTCCCGCTCCCGGCAAGTCTTTGATGAGAGCAAAGAGAGAGGAAGGAAGGGGGGGGAGGGGAGAGAGAGAGTGTGTGTGTTAGAGGGAGAGAGGAGAGTGAGGTGGGGGGGGGGAGAGAGAGAGAGAGAGAGAGAGAGAGAGAACCATGAATTCGACCCCAAAATGCCTCTCCAAAGCATACACTAAAAGGTAAAGGTAAAGGCCCTCCCGTTGTTCGTCAATTTGCTCGAGCGGGCCCAGTAACGTCTCCATCGTGAGACTTTGTTGTTACTGTGTTTGGCATATCGAATACGTCACGGGGAGCTTGCCAGGCTCTGCCGAGCGGGCGATATACTCTCGATAGCTTGCCGGGCTCTCCGAGAGGGGCTGAGGAATCGAACTCGGGTCGGCCATGTTGGCTGCGTGCAAGGCAGACGCCCTACCCGCTGTGCTATGAGCCAAAAATGGATGAGTTCAGTTCTGCTGGTTTCCAGGACAATCTTCAATCTTCATTTCCCACCCGATTCCCTCCTCCCCCGTTTTCTTAGGCCTTCCCAGTGGGGTCTGCTCCCGTGTCTGCCTTTGTTGGAAACCTGAGACTCAGTTTTCCTGGGATAAGTCAGCTGCCCCTCCAAGGGGCCCATCCCAGGCACCTGGCTGCAGGGACAGGCTCAAACATGACCTGGGGAAGGACTGAAGACCCCTGTGTGGTTGCTACTTCGTGGCTTCATTGCTGTTTTCTGTTGTAGACACCTCTGCATATGGCTGGACACAGAACACGGCAGATGGGCAGAAGGCCAGACAGTGCTGGCTTCTTTTTCTTATTTTCTAATATCCTCCTTCAAAGCCCCTGCCAGATTCTACATCCCAAGACTCTTGCCATTCTTGTAAAACACACACACACACACACACACACACACACACACACACACACACAAACATACAACCTAAAATAATGAGAGGTTACAGGGTCCTGCTCAAGAAGGCTCAATCTCCCAATCAAACCCAGAACATGGGCCGAGATCTCACATACAAGTAATTGTGTCCAGTTTTACACACGTGCCACCAACTCCTTACCTAGCAGCTAGGGACTTGCTGGAAGCCCCTGCTGGGGTCACAACCAGGTGAGAAGCAACTCAGCAGAGGCTGGAATAATCCAGACTTAAGCTGCATGTTCTAAGTCCCAGGGCCTAGACCTGCAAGGAGGAGAGGAGGCAAGGAGGGGAGGGTGAGACCTAGTGACACAGGAAGCAGGGAAGTGGCGTCCTAGGCTAGAGGCAACCAACTGGGTTTGGGAATATCTGAGCGAGTGGATTTGGGGCTCCCATACTGCTCTGGGTCAGCCTTGAACCGTGCCATAGATTCTGTGTTCTTCCCAGGATGGCTGACGGTGGCGAGGGCGGCAGACCAGCTGGGGAACTTGCAGTCATGAGGCCTTGGCCACTGGTCCTGCCCAGAGCTGCTCCTTGGCTGGAACAGGACATGGGTCCTTCATGTTTCATCTCATCTGAGTGTTGGAGGTGAATGACCTGAGTCTAGTTCTTCCAGGTCACGCCACCGTCAGCCTGTCACTGGCCCCAGACAAGACAGAGACTTACCCACTCCAGCCTGTACTTCCTCCTGCTCAGATCAAGACCCCAATTCTCTGGGTGCTCGTATTAGAAGTTCTTCTGCCAGCTTCCTAGGCCCCTGCACCCCAAAGTCGTGTCTATCTATGATGCTTCTGGGCACATGTTGGACTCCATGGCCCAACACCCACCTCACCTTCTGTTTCTCTAGTGGGACACAGTGTGCAGTTCCCTTCGGAATCCATCACTCATCATCATCGGAATCCATCGTCCAGAGAAGAGGCATCATACCTTGGGCCCATGCTCCTTTTTCTGTTTTATTTATTTATTTGGTTTTGGGAGGGGCCACACCCAGAACTGCTCAGGGTTTGCTCATGGCTTTGTGCTCAGGGATCACTCCTGAAGTGCTCAGGGACTGCTATGGGGTGCCAGGGAAGTTGGCTGTGTGCAAGGCAGAGGCCTTAACTCCTGTTACTGTCTCTCTGGCCTTCTCCTGCTCCTTGTAAAAGCTTCCCTGAGGCCCAAATGCCAAGGCCAAGAAGAGTGAGACACAAGTCACTGGTCCCCAGGGATGTGTTCCTGGGCTCAAATGACCAACTTAGGATGTCTGTGTTTCAGGATGGGGGCACTCTATGGGTCGGTGCCAATACTGCGTCTCACTCACGACCGTTAAACATTGATCAATGTTGTCACGTTTGGGTTGTTCGCCGCAATCCTAGTTCCGAGGTTAAAACCGGCACAATAAAGCCTTAGAAAAATAAGTAATTCTTTTATTTCTACTTCAAAATAGACTGTGTACATCTGGAGCACTAAGGGAAAGGAAACCGGAAGATAATTCCATCATAAAAATTTAAAAAAAAGATTTAAAAAAAAAAAAAGAGCGATTGCCTGCTGCCAATCTCTTTATTCCAGCTGAAAGGGGCGTGAGCTGCCAATGGTCTGGCTGTGGGTGCCCGGCCCTCGGATGCTGGCCCGGAGGCGGCCTCCCAGGGGCTCCACATCCAGGACTTCCTGGAGCACTTTGAGGATGGGCTTTGGCTGACAGGCGGCCAAGTCCTGCAGTCGGGGTCCCATGAGCTCCTGAAGGCTCCTACTTAGCTGTGCCACAGCCACGGAGCGGATGTGCCCCCCTGGGCCACGCAGGATTCCAGTCCCAGACATGCTGCTCAGGAAGTACCAGAGGACCGGAAGGACATAGCGCTCCACAGCCTGCGGCTTTCGGGGGTAAACTGAGGCCACCAGCGCTGTTGGTCAGAGAGAGAGAGAGAGAGAGAGAGAGAACCATTAGCCCAGCACGCTATCCCCCTTCCTACTTTTAGTCTATTAGTCACAGTTCCTTGGGCTTATGACATGTGTAGGGGTCCATGCAAATGCTCCATTTCTTTTAAAATCAGAAGCAAAGATTTGAAGACCACTGAGCTGGATGTGTTCGTGCCAAGCAGTCAGAAATGAAGTTTTTAAAGAGAGTTCACATCCAGCAATGCTGGGTCAGTGGAGATGGGGGGGGACTTGGGACCACTTCTGGTAATGGTTTGACCATCAGTGCAGGTGGGGAGTTGGCCTCTAGGGCCCAAGGTACAACTCAGGACCTCGCACCTGCCAGCAATGTGCTCGTAACATCCAGGACCATTAAAAGAATTTTTTTCTTAAATTTTTATTAGTGAGGGGGCTGGAGTGATAGCACAGCGGGTAGGGCGTTTGCCTTGCACGTGGCCGATCCGAGTTCGATTCCCAGCATCCCATATGGTACCCTGAGCACTGCCAGGGGTAATTCCTGAGCATAGAGCCAGGAGTGACCCCTGTGCATTGCCGGGTGTGACCCAAAAAGAAAAAAAAATTTTTTTATTAGTGAAACACCATGAGGTACAATTGTAGACTGGAGAACATTAAAAGAATTTTTAAAAGAGTAGATGAGTTTAGGGGCCATGTGCCTCTGTGCTCAGGGGCTACTCCTGGGTCTGTGCTCAGAGATGACTTCTGACAATGTTCAGGAGCTTGTCTATGGCATCAAACTGGGGTTGGCCATATGCAAGGCAAGGGCTTAACCCCCGTACTATCTCCCTAACCCCTAAAATAACACCAATACTATTTATATATGGGCTGGAGCGATAGCACAGTGGGTAGGGTGTTTGCCTTGCACACAGCCAACATGGTCAACCCGAGTTCGATTCCTCCGCCCCTCTCGGAGAGCCCAGCAAGCTATCAAGTGTCTCGCCTGCACGGCAAAGCCTGGCAAGCTCCTCGTGCTGTATTCAATATGCCAAACACAGTAACAAGTCTCACAATGTTATTGGGCCTGCTCGAGCAAAAATCGATGAACAATGGGAGGACAGTGACAGTGATTATTTATATGGACGAATGATAATGAGAAGGCAACGGGGCACAGGGCCCCATGACAAGGCTCAGGGCCCCTGCAATGGGTCCCCCGAGTTCAGGGAAGAGCGGGTGACAGACACCTGTTATTCCGCCTTTTCGGGCCGTGAGACCTGAGTAAGCAACCCCGCCTCTCTGCCCCTATTTCCCAACCTGCTGAATGAGGAGAATACGCTTGAGATCATCAAAAAGTGAGTAACAAATGTGCCTGAGCTGCTTTGGGAGACACTGGATGATACAGGTGTGGCTTTCACCCACAGACCCTCCCTGGGGTGCACGCAGCTTTAAGGAAGCCTGTAGCAGAGGAATGAGCTATCTGGGTGGGGGACCATCCTGGAAGGATGGGTATTTGATCACTGTATAATTGAAACCCAAGCACAAAAATTTTTAAGTCTACAACTGTACCTCATGGTGTCTCACTAATAAAAATTAAAAAAAAAAAAAAAGGAGAGCCCAGCACGGCTGGGGTCTGGAGCCTCATCGCACCGCAGAGCAGCAGGGCATCCAGGGGCAGGCTCTGCACCTTCACGGTGATGAAACACTGGATAGTTATCCACCCCACCCCCACCCCCACCCTGAGCCCTGCCAGCAAGCCCCAGCAGCAGAAGCCCGCTCAGCAGAAAGCACTCAGTCTCCCTGGGAAAGGGAGGAGACGGTGACCCATAGGCCCCTCCTGCCGTTCTAGAAGTCCTGACAAGAAAGAAAAAAAACCATGAAAACTCTAGCTTCAGAGCATGCGGTGTACTTAGCACCAGATTTACGGCGTTCAACCATGCTATAATTAGCCGTTGCTTCTTGTCAGCTGGAACTTGCCTCCCTGTTCCTGGCAGAGAGGAACAGTTCGCAGGAGAGCTTACACCCAGCTAGCACAGCTGGCAGCAGGGCTGTATAGAAACGTAGGTGGCTGTGGCCCGGCGGGAAACAACAACGGTCCATGGCTAGTCTAAGTCACTCACCAGGGGCTGGGAAGGGTTTCTCCCCAGAGGAAGGGGATTCTGAGAGAGAAACAGTTCCAGAACAGGGAGCTAGGGTGGTCTCGGTCACAAAGCCCCACTGCACGGATCCCCCAATCCTGCCTCAGTCTCCCCCCTTGCCTAGCACCCAGAAGGGAGGTAAGGGGCCACTCTGGGAACACTGGAAGAACTGAACCAGGGTTGGAAGCAAGAGGAAGGGGCTTGGAGGTGTGGGGACATGCAGACCAGCACTGCCTCACAGGGCAGAGAGGGGAGAGGGAGAGAGTGGAGGTGATACCTGCACCGGGGTTGGGGGTGGAGGGAGGGCTTCCCAGGCAAAGGTGATGGTGGGGAGCGGGTGGCATTCTGGTACCCAGAGGGCAAGGGCAGGCCGACTCCGGGACAGGCTGCTGGGGATGAGTCTGGAAGACCCGCCAGGTTAAGTGGCCCCAAGCACTTGGCCTTTCTCAGCACGGCTCTCATTCCGCAGGAAGGACCCACACAGACCCACACTCTCCACTGGGCGCTGCGTGGACGAGAGGCTCCGTTTGTGTATCTGACTTGGGGTGGTGAGAGCGCAATGAAGCCAGCCAGTGACGGGCCCCAAAGACCCCATCAGGGAACCCAGGTGCTATCCCAGAGGGCACTGGGGAGTGGCAGTGATATAAACTGTAAATGGAGGATAACACCACCCTGTGCCTTTTATTTATTTATTTATTTATTTATTTTTGCTTTTTGGGTCACACCCCGCAATGCTCAGGATTACTCCTGGCTCTGCACTCAGGAATTACTCCTGGAGGTGACAGGCTCGAACCCAGGTCAGCCGCCTGCAAAACAAACACCCTAGCCGCTGTACTATTGCTCCGGCCCACCCTGGGACTTTTAGGGGAGCCTTGGGGTGGGGGGCCTCAAGAGCAGGCCTCCTCCTCTGCCTCCTCCAGCATCCTTTCTGGTGGAAGAGGAGGTCCTTGGAGTGCAAGACAGAGAAAGAGCTGAGGCCCCTGACCCCCAGCCATGTGGGCTGGTAGCTAGGAATCTGTCCCCCCAAAGTGTGTGGTGCCTTCTCCTGCCATCTCCAGGGCCAAGGCAGCAGGTCCGAGCCCTGGGCTGAAATCTCACAGCTGCAAACTCAAAGCACAAGGCAGTACCCACTCCAAAGGCTGTTTCCTTGGACCACAGAAAGCTACCCCTGGAGGAAGAAATGCATGCCAGCTTCTGAAGTGTGTGTGTGTGGGGGGAGGACTAGGAGCAGGAGGAGGGGGAGTAAGGCTCAGCTCTCCAGCAGTGCTGAGACCTGCAGGTCGCCCAGTGAGTCTCAGTCTGGCGACTCAGTGCCCGGACCCAGACAGATGGTGCTACTTGGGCTGGTAACTCGGGATCTCCACATACAAGATATATGTTTCAGTTCCGGGAGCCCTCTCCCCCAGCCCCCACCTGATGATTGTTTTAAAAACTCTTTGATTCTGCAGCAAACAGCCTCACATTAACCTGAAGATTGTCATCTGGCAAGGTGGGAGTGACTTGGAAAAATAGCCTCCCCCCTCCCCCAAATTGCTTTTTGGTCCCAAGGACTATTTGATTATTTTCAGCCAAAAAGACAAGGTTGATTCAATCAGATATTAGGAAAGAGGAGCAGAGATAAACTGGACAGGGGAACTGGGGCCAGGTAGAGTTTGGGGTGCTCACCTGAGAGGCGCTCTATGACGTCCAGCAGTGCACGGCCACTCAGGAAACGCACCCGGGCAGAAAACGCTTGTAGGAGGCAGATGTTGTCTGGAAGAGACAGGGGCAGTGGGCATGAGGCCGTGGCAGGGCTGGTCACTGCCCAGCACTGCTTCCACCCATGGGGGATGAGGCTGTTGGAGGAGTGGAATCAATTCCTCCGGGTCGCCACGGGCCACTTCAAAAAGCAAATGATGTGGGATATGTGGGCAGCTTAAGTGGCCTAGAATCATGAAACTGGCTTCCTAAGAAAGTCAATTACTCCCACAACCTGGCCCATATTATCTGTGAGTCATCAAAATCATTGTGAGCTTAGAGCAGAACGGAGTGGGTGCAAGGATGGATGACGAGGTGGATGGATGGATAGTGGGTGGATGGGAGGAGGGTAATGGTTGGATGGACGCGTGCATGCAAGCATGCGTGGGTGGTGGGTGGATAATAGATGGATGCAGAGATGATGGGTGATGGATGGATGGTGGGTGGATGGCAAGGTGGACGGTAATGGATGAATGGATGGATGGATGGAGAGATAAAAGATAGATGGTAACAGGGATACAAGTAATAGAGGCAGATGATATATGACAGAGAGAACGAAAATAGAGATCGACTGAAAGATAGATGTAGATCTGTACATGATTTCAGAGGAAACTGAGGCACAGTCACACCGGAAGTATGTAAAGGTGTGAACTGGGTTGGGGTTAGATTTCTCAACTATTGAATTCCCTCACATGCCTAAATCTCCCTCTAGCGAGCAGGACAGGACAGGGGTCAAGGAGCCTTCTGCCTCCGAGGCCTGGAGTTGAGGTCCGTATGTATCCCACCTGCCTGCTCCCTGTCCTCCCCCCCAGGAGATGCCTTTGACAAGGAGTGGACACTCCCCCACTGGAAACTGCATACTCGTGTCACTGAGTGGAGGAAGGAGTGCCAGGGTTAGGGTGAAGCCCTCCTGGCTTGCCCAAGACGGCACCCACTCTAGCACTGGAATTCCCCCATGTCAGGAACCTTCTCACCCACCCACCAGGAGGCTCTGTCACGTCTCAGAGACAGAAGCACCGAGCTGACTGGAGCGTCTGCGGGATGCACAACCCTCCAGAGTGTACCCGTGAACTCGTCGCCAGAGGCCCAGCCAAACACGTGAAGAGCCCAGAGCACTCTCCCCTCCCCGACTCACCCTGCAGAGTAAGGAAAGGTTCCTTCTCTCTTGTTGGTGGGGGAGGAGGAGGTGCGAGAATGGAGGTTGGGCCACACCCAGCAGTGTTCGGGAGCTATTTCTGGCTCTGTGCTCAGTAGTGAGCCCTGGGGATGCTCAGGAAACCACACGTGGTACCGGAGGTTTGATCCAAGGTCGTGGCAGAGGTCGCCACATGCAAGGCAAGCGCCTTCCTCCTGCACGCTCCTGGGCCAAGGGGAAACTTCTAACCTGCTGCACCCTGCACCTGCCCACCAGCCTGTGCCCTGCCAGCCAAACCCCAGGTCTGCCTGTGACCCAACCACACCTGCGTGGGCTGCCTGGGACTTTGGCGCTGTATGAAGAAGCTCTGGGGAAATAAAGGAATGGGAAAGGAATGGGAGGGTGGAGCAGGTGGGGCATGCACTCGCATTCTTCAGATCTCTCCCTCTCTCCCTCTGTGTGTGTGTGTGTTTGTCTGTCTGTCTGTCTGTCTTCCCACCCCCACCCCCACCCCCACCCCCAGTGGTGTTCACGGTTTACTCCTGGCTCTGTGCTCAGGGATCACTCCTGGCACTATTCAGGGAGCCATATGGGTGCCAGAGATCCAACCTGGGTTGGCTGCATGCAAAGCCAGCACCCCACCCACTGCACTATCTCTGACCCTGTCCCCCATTCTTTGCATTTCTAGATTCATGTCCAGGCACTGACCCCAGAGTACCACAGGCGGCTGACCTCTGACTCTCAGACTCTACTTACCCACCCACACAATCTGCACAGGATGTTGGGGGAGCAAACGGGAGCTGTCCCAGAGGACACCCTTTTGGGCCAGACCGACTGGAGACCCCACATGCCTCACCCTAAGATTTCCAACCACCCTATCAAAGAGAACCCCAGGGGGGCACTTGCATAAAATGTGTGTCTTTTAGGGGGGGAACATGCCTGCCCCTGTCAGGGAGGTGAGAGTTTCAACCCCAACAAGCATGCCCCGAGGTGCCAGGAGCTGACCATCTCCAGCCTGACAATTCTCCCTGGGCAGGGCCCAGATTAGAAACCGGTCAGAGGTCTCATTGGGCAAGTTCTTCTCTCCCAAGCTCCTCAGCTACTCTCTACAACAGAGACCCCTGAGGTGAGCAACCCAGGGGTCTTTCCCATGAGCCCTAGCTGGGCGCTTGTTCCTGCTGCCGCCTTGCAGTCTTGCATGACTCCTGGGACCCGCCAGGGCCACAGAGGAGAAAATAAACCATCTACCTGCGAAACAGCCCAGCAGCAAGACCTTCCAACCTGGGAGATGCAGGGAGTGGCAGCCTCCAAAGGGCTGCAGAGAGCAGAAAGATCTCGGGGTGCAATGGTGGAAGAGCAGGTTTGCACGACCCTCCTCTGCATTCCTAGTCCCATGGACCAGGAGCTCATGTGAGGGGCCAAGACCCCGCCTCACCTCCCTTCACGACAATCTGGCCAGGACTCTGCCTGCACATAGCTTGCAGAGAGAAACCAGGAAGTGGAGCACCCTTGCAATGGAGTATCCAGAACCCTGGGTCAGGCTGCACGGACACAGTATATAACAGGTGCTCAATAAATACTTGCAGGGGCTGGAGCGATAGTTCAGCGGGTAGGGTGTTTGCCTTGCACATCACCAACCACGGTTCAATCCCTGGCATCCCCTATGGTCCCCCAAGCCGGTACTAATTCCTAAATGCTGAGCCAGGAGTAACCCCTGAGTGTTGGGTGTGACCCAAAAAGCAAATAAATAATTAAATAAATTATTGTCACTGTCACTGTCCTCCCGTTGTTCATCGATTTGCTCGAGCAGGCCCAGCAACGTCTCCATTGTGACAATTGTTACTGTGTTTGGCATATCGAATATGTCAGGGATAGCTTGCCAGGCTTTACCATGCGGGTGAGATACTCTCATTTGCTTGCTGGGCTCTCCAAGAGGGGTGGAAGAATCGAACGTGGGTCGGCCATGTTGGACGCTTGCAAGGCCCTACCCACTATGCTATCGCTCCAGCCCAATTAAATAAATAAATAAATAAATATTTGCAGAGTTCAGGGCAAAGGAAAAGCAGAGACTTCAGTCTGCCCACATCCAGAGACCCCAAGGCACCACGCTCAGGGAGAGGGAGGAGCAAGAGGGTTCTGGTCTCCCTTCCTCAGTATGGGCTTATTTTCAGGTTTCCCAAAGCCCCGAGAGACAGGAAAGCCGAGTGGTTAAGGGTGTGGGTGCTGGGTCCAGAGCACCTGTTCTTCCATCTCTTGCAGGACCCGCCGCTCACCCTCTCTCGACCACAGTCCTGCGTGTCTAATCCACCATCCTCACAGAGCTGCCATGAGAATGAGATGCGTAAACCCAGGGTAGAACCTTGGCTGCTAACAACGGGGACGAGTGGCAACTGTGGTTGCTACCCTTACTCTCATTCCCTCACGCTGCCTGCAAGTCCAGCACATGGAGGGCCCGCTAAGAGGCTTCCAGCCCGGGGGGTTTGTCGGAGCCTCCCCTGTTTCACACACAGAGCATGGCCACCCTGCTCTTGCCCACAAAGATTTGGGCCACGATGCTCCAGGCCAAGAATGCAGCTGGGGCTGGTCAGCCAGAAATCCTGTCTCCCTGCCCTCACCTGCCCTCTCTCCACAAGGGCAGACTGGCGGGGGGGGGATGGAGGGGAGGTTGCTTCTGCCAACTCCTGAGATTATCAGGCCGGATCGGGTCATGTTCAGGCAAACCAGAGAGGGCTTTTTAGAAAGTGTGAAGAACAAAAACAAAACAAAGCGTAAAAACACACAATAATGTTGGGGCTGGAGCGATAGCACAGCGGTAGAGCGTTTGCCTTGCACACAGCCAACATGGCCAATCCGAGTTCGATTCCTCCGCCCCTCTCGGAGAGCCCGGCAAGCTACCGAGAGTATCTCGCCCGCACGGCAGAGCCTGGCAAGCTACCCGTGACGTATTTGATATGCCAAACACAGTAACAACAAAAGTCTCCAATGGAGACGTTACTGGGCCCTCTCGAGCAAATCGATGAACAACGGGAGGACAGTGATGGTGAATGTTGGGCCAGAGCAGGGGCTAACTGACCCTGGTTCAATCCTGGGCATCACATAGGATCTCCCAAGCACCAGCAGGGATCCCTCCTGAGCACTGAGCTGGGAATATGTGAAACATGGCAACAAGCACCGGAGCAGATAAGATCTGTCCCTACATAGCAAATAAGATCTGTCCCTTCAGAGCACCCAGTAGGGAGTGTCTGGGCGCATTTGACAAGCACCAGGTATCCGCCTTGAGTCTCACCCAACCCCCCAAGAATTGTCGCCTCTGCTTAGCAAGTCATTCCTAACTACAGCATCTAGCCCTAATGGGGATTAGGCCAGGGCAAAGCAGAGTTGGAAAGGGAACAGGTCAGTAATGCTGAACTTTATGTGACTGGACCATCCTCTTAAACTGAGACCCTCTACAAAATATGTGTGCAAACAGACAACAAACAAACACTGTCCTCCCCTTGTTCATTGATTTGCTCGAGCAGGCCCAGTAACGTCTCCATTTTTGAGACTTGTTGTTACTGTGTTTGACATATTGAATACGTCATGGGTAGCTTGCCAGCTTTGTCGTGCAGGCGCGATACTCTCTGTAGCTTGCCGGGCTCTCCGAGAGGGGCGGAGGAATCGAACCCAGCTCAGCTGGGCTGACTGCGCACAAGGCAAACACCTCTGTGCTATTGCTCCAGCTCCAAATATGTGTGCATTTGGCAATAAACTGAATGGCCATCGGTTGTCTCCCAGAGTGGTATCTCCTCACGCCCATCATCCTTCGCCTCACGTCTGCCTAGACCCGGTGTGCAATGTGTCTGGGCACATTGGGGAAAACCTGTTCCCCAATAGGAATAGTCTCTGAGCGTCAAGAGGGTGGGACCCAATTTGACCCCTAAACAAAAAACAAACAAACAAAATGTTATATGGATACTAAAACCAAAGCAGGTCTGTTTGTCACAGGAGAAAACTGGGGATGACTCATCTCATCAGAAAAGTACAGGGCTGGAGAGATAATCCAGTGGGTAAGGCATTTGTCTTGCACTCAGCTGAGCTGGGTTTGATCCCTGGCACTGCATATGGTCCCTGAGCACAGGAGTAATCCCTGAGTGCAAATTCAGAAGGAAGATCTGAGCATTACAGGGTGTGGCAGGAAAAATAAAAGAAGTGCAAGCTAAGGTCCCTTTCCTGTCAGAGTTGCTAACGTGACTCGTGTGTGAGATGGTCCCACTCTGCCTTGGTGAAGCCACTGCAAATTCGAACATGTGACAGAGTCCCAGCCCTGTGCACCAATGGGGTAGACAGAAAAGATCGCTCACCTAAAAATAAAATAAGTAATGTGTTTGGGGCTGGAGCGATAGCACAGCGGGGAGGGCGTTTGCCTTGTACGCGGCCGACCCGGTGTCGATTCCCAGCATCCCATATGATCTCCTGAGCACCACCAGGAGTAACTCCTGAGTGCAGAGCCAGGAGTAAGCCCTGTGCATCGCTGGATGTGACCCAAAAAGAAAAAAAATAAGTAATGTGTTTAAGTAATGGTTTCTTTAAGAAATTTTTTTCACCCTTCTGAATGCTTTTTATTTTCCATCTCCACAAATGATGACATGACTCTTACAGAGGTGGAAATGTGTATTTTCAAATGGAAGTCGAGCGACTCCACAGGTGCGTGGGCAGCATGGCGTTGTTCGTGGGTGAAGCACTGTGGGGTGGGGTTCGTGGTTTCTAACCAGGGACATCTGAGTGGACACAGAGAAGGCTTTGAGCAGTTGGTGCATTTGTAGGGCACCACAGAGGAGTACAGAGGAGTGTCTAAGCCCATAAGAGGAGAGCGTTGACTGTATGAAACACCAACGGGATTGAATTCAGAGCCCGACAACTCGATAGCTGTGTGGGTCTGGCGCTGCCCTGCTCCAAGCTTATCTGCCTTTGCCAGCCCAGGCTGAGGGTGCTGGGATTAGCAGTGCTCCTTCGGGAGCTCGGAAGCCTGAATGCGGAGAGGATGAGCTGCCAGCAGCCTGATATTTTCATCAGGGACTTCTCTGCTATCACTAAGCCTGTGACAGAACCAGGTTGTCTGGCTCGGAGCTGCCTTAAGCTCCAGGATAAGTGCCCTGAAATGAGAAGGTTTGGGTGCAGAGTAGAAAGGAGGGTCCTGTGACCTCAGTGCTGGGGAAGTCCCCCAGTGGCTGGGGCCACACGCAGAGGTCAAGACAAAAGGTATCCACAATGGCTTTCCTTGTTCCCCAAAAGAGACGTGGGCAGAAACCCCTCCTGCCAAGCTCATGCCACCTCATACCCACTTCCGTAGAATAATCAAGGGTCTGGAAGAGATTCCAGGGATGGTGCATCAGCTCTGCAGCTCTGGGGTCACCACAGATCTGGATCTCTGGGATCCAAAGTTCGGGGGCACAGCCAGAGGTCGCCTATGAAGGTTCAAGTCCCATGCTGGCTGCACGATGGACTTTGTCCTCAAAATCGGGCTGACCTGTCTCTGGAGCAGGGGCCCAGCACATCCAGGCTGAGCCCCAGCTCCATCCCTTCCCAAAACACACACTTCATAGCATTTATCTGAACCTTAGAACCTGTGGAGAGGGTGGGAGTGTGAGCATGTGACAACTTTCTCCCTTAAAAAACCTTCTTCTCTTTAAAGGGGCCAAACCCCTCCTAGGAGTATTCTAAGGTACTCAGGGGCCGCATGGAGACACCCCCTAGCCCAACTAGGCTCCCGAAGGGAAAGGATCATCTTTTCGGCTGATGTGGGAAGGAAGGTATGGATCACTTCTTTTTGTTTTGTTTGGGGTGTACATCTGGCAGTGCTCAGGGCTTTCTCCTGTCTCTGTGCCCAGGAATCATTCCGGATGGGGCTCAGGATATCATACGTGGGGTGGGGAAATCAAACTGGGGTCCTCTGTGTGCAAGACAACCACCCACGTGTACCTGTTCCCTTTCCCACTCCCCCCCTCCCCTTCATCTACGGTCTTGTCCCCTCACGTGGCATTCACTGCCTGCCACTCAAGCTGAGACCATAGTTTGCGGATGACAGCCATGCCAGGGCAGGACACGGCCCTGGCACACCCATCCAGGGACTCCCCCAGTCCGTGAGCATTCCTTTGGACCACCTCAATCCTTGCTGATCTGGCCCGCAGGGGTTGTGAGGAGCGCTGGGGGTTAAGAAGGCACAGCTCATTACAAGGCCAGGTGTGCCCAAGCCCCAGGCCCAATGAACACAACCCCTGGGGACCAGACCCCAGGTTTTGCTTTTTGAGCACCTTTTGCTAGGGATTTACTGGCATCCTCCCTCCCGGAGAGGCCATTCTATTCCAGCCTGGTGCCAACCTAACTCTCGGAGAGGAAGTCAGCACCCGTCAGATTCTCCCTGGACTGGCTTTTACTGATGGCTCTAGGGAGGGTGAGGGTCATGGCCCACAGCTGGCCTTACCATCCCTCCCTATGACGCCCGGTCCCGGGGGGGAGCATCTTCCTGAAGCCACCACCTACCAAAGCGTGATCACTCCCAAAAGCAGGGTCACTTCACAGGGGGCACAGCCTGGACAGGGGGCCTGGGCAGAGAGACACCCGCGTCCAGAAATGCCAGGGTTAAGGGCTGGACAGTGGGGAGGGCGCTGCCCTTACATACAACTGACCCAGGTTCGATCCCAGACATCCCCATGGTTCCCCCCACGCACCACCAGGAGTGACTCCTGAGTGCAGAACCAGACATAACCTCTGGGCATTCATAGATGTGGCCCCCAAACCAAAAACGCCAGGGCTCCCTGGGGACCAGGGAACTGTCACCATGGTCCAAAGGAGAAAGTGAACCCGGGAGGGGAAGAGTTAAAAGCCCTCTCTCAGGCTAGAGAGTGTGGTCCTCTCCAAGCCTCGAAGGCCTATTTCACGGGCGCAAGTTGCCCCATAAATCCCGGGTCCGCGATGATTTACCAAGAGCCTTGGTTATTGGCTACAGCAATCTCACTTACCCAGAGCAGCGCCGAGAACAAGCCATAATTTAGAACTAGATTTATATTGTTTGTTCTACAGCCACAAACTCAGCAAATCATAAATTCCCTCAGAAGTGAAGAGAGGAAATTGACAATATTTATGAACTCACGAGCCAGGGAGACGGGCCCGGGCAGCCTTGCGGTTCGTAACTGAACCGTTTTCCTGAGGGCTCAGGCCAAGGACACGGCAGAGGGCCCAGCCCTGGGGGCCCAGTGGGGACCTGCAGCCTCCCTGTGGGGATGGCCAGGGAATGCCTATGGCTGGACAGTGCTCCGGTCTCCAGGACTTAGAAGACAAAGATGGGAGATGTCAGGTCACAGTTTCCACTCAGCAGACAAGACTGGTTTGGGGAGCTCGTGGCTCTGGTCTGGACTTTAGTTTACTTGAGTGTCTCCTCCTCACACACACACCCAAAGGTCTAAACTTTCACTTCAGACTGTGAAAGTACCAAGTACTTCAGGTGCCAAGTACCTGCTACCCATAGAACAGAGAACAGAGATGGAGCCAGCAAGAGGACCCCCACACTCACAGTCCGTGACCCAGATGTGAAGCTACCGAGGCACAGAGGAGCCAGCCCCTCCCTGCTGTCTCTCCCAAGGGTGTTCCCACTATTTTCCCCTTCTTCCTCCCTGCTCCCCCACGCCTCCCTCGTCCCTCCCCTCCTCAGTACCCCAAAATCCTTCTCAGCCTGGCCCCAAGAAACATCTTCCTCAAAGGCGAGTCTCATGTATTCCACGCTCAAAAAAAGCCAATGGCCTCCAATGGCCTGACGCCACCCAGCACCCAGGAAGCCTGGCTGGGTGTGGGGCCTGGGACGGCTGCTGCCTGATAGGGCTGAGCCAGGTGCAGGCAGGGGCTCACCCAGACTCTTCATCATGACGTCCAGCACGGTGGCCGCCGCCGTGTAAATCCCTGAGTTCCTGGAGTTGAGGTTGTCGGCGACAGCGATGAGTGTGGAGAGCAGCATAGGGTGTAAACTCTCCTTGAGGAGGGGGATCATCTTGGCAAAAGACTCCAGCGCCCACTGGTTCACTTTCTTGTTGGAATCCTGAAGCCTTGGGGTGAAGGCATCAAAAACCTACGGAGACGGGCAGAGACCAAGAGTCCAGGTGACCGCCACACCCTGGTCAGCTGGGGCTTTCGCCTGCCTGGCCTCCCTCAGCCAGGATCCCTAGACTTTTTTCATTATTGTTTGGGGGCCACACACGGCAGTGCTCGGGGCTTACTCCTGGCTCTGTGCTCTGGGCTGGGGAGACCATATGGGGTGCCAGGGATTGATCCCAGGTTGTGTGTTTGCAGGGCAAGTGCCCTACCCACTGTACTATCATTCTAACCCCAACAGGTCCCTAAGCTTTTAAAATTAACCAACTTCTGCCAGGCTGTCCCGAGCTATCAGGAGAGGAGGAGAGGAAATGAGGAGAGGAAATGAGGAAACGCCTGGTGACCTCCCCTGCTCTCTCCTCCTGGGTGGGTGTGTGGGTTCCCCTCGTGAAACACAGATCAGGACCCTATGAAAGAGAGGTGGAAAAAAAAGGTGGAAAGAGAGGTCAGGGGCCTCATCCCAGACCACCCACAGGGAGGGAGCCAGGCTGGGAACTCAGCTCTCCAGGCCTTGATCCTACGTCTCCGGGACGCCAGCGTGTGCCAGGCTTGGCAGCTGCCTGAGTCCCAGCACTTCAGCAGCACTGCCTGATGGCCTGGCCAGCACTGGCCTGTGTGCACTAGACCCGAGCAGCCTCCCTCACCGCATCCCCCTCCATATCCATTGACAGGATGATGGTTTCCTCCAATCGGACCTGGCAGGACACCACAGTCTCACCCTCATGGCCTCTCGGTGATTTAGAATGCTATGGGAGAACTATGGACCAAACATGAGGGCCACTTAGTACCTGTATTGCAAACCATAATACCAAGATGGAGAAAGAGAGAGAGAGAGAGAGAGTAAAAGGGAATGCCCTGCCACAGAGGCAGGGGATGGAGAGGAAGGGTGGAGGTGGTGGGAGGGATACTAGGAACATTGGTGGTGGAGAATGGGCACAGGTAGAGGGATGGGTACTTGAGCATTGTATGACCGAAACATTAATCATGCAAGTTTTTAAGTCTGTAACTGTATCTCACGGTGATTCATTAAAATAAAATAATAATAATAAAATTAAATTAAAGAAAAAATAAGAATACTACAGGGACCGGACAGAGAGTGAAACCAGACAGATCTAACTCTTATCTTGCAGGTGCCTAACCTGGGGCCCCCTAAAGTCCCCCACGCCCACCAGAAGTGATCCTTGATGAATACAGAGCCAGGGGTAACCCCCTGAACACTCCCAGATGTGGCCCCCCCTGAACAAACAAAAACCCCAGAGCATTACCAAGGCATCCCATCACTATAGCATCAGTGGAGAGTCAGGAAACGGGCCATACTCGAGAGCTCGGGGCCAGCCCTGCTCTGAACTTCCCCACCAGGGCTGGGCCTCACCTGGATCAGGTTGGCCGAGATGAGCTCTGGCTTGGCCCTGCAGTGCTCAAGGAGCTTCCCCACGCCTTCCATCCGGGCCTGGTACTCCTTGGCTTCGAGCAGCCGCGTCAGCTCCTGCAGCTCCTCCCCCATCTCCACGCCGGCCCGCACGGAGGAACGCAGCCCCATCAGCGGGGGGCCGTGGGAGCTGAGCCTGTGTGGAAGGAGCCACGGCGGGTGGACACGCGCCTTGGCCCAGGCCGAGTCCACAGACTGGCAGACGGTACCTGCGGTTCAGTTTGGCCCCGACTTCTCCCCACTTGGGGACCCTCACCCCAAGGCAGACCTCAGAAACTGCTTTTCCTCAAGGGGATGGAGGGGGAAAGACAACAATGTGTGGGGCCTAGACCCCACACCCACATCGGGAGGAAGGACTTTCTCTTCCTGCATCTTTTCTCCTGCCCATAGACGTGTGGAGGCCGGAGGGGTGGTGCAGCCTGAGGGGTGAGACCCCCCGGAGGGGCCGATGGCAGAGCCTTCTGGCTGAGAAGGGGGCATCCAGCCATCGCCCTCAGTCCTGTCTCCGGGGGTCCAGCCTGAGGGGAAGCTTCAACCTCTCACGCCGGGGTCTGGGAAGGGCAGAGGGAGCACCTAGGAGAAGGTGGTGGAGAGCAGGCGCTCATGGACTCGGGTGGGATAAACAGGCCTGTGCTAGGCCCAGCCGGCACAGAACCAGGCCCTGCAGGGAAAACGCAGCAGTGAGAGGAAGAGAGGATGGAGGGGCAGGAAGAGAGTATGGGAGAGTGGGGGCCTGAGCGACAGCACAGCGGGGAAGGGCATTTGCCTGACGCGCGGCCGACCCAGGTTCGATTCCCAGCATCCCATAGGGTTCCCCAAGCACTGCCAGGAGTAATTCCTGAGTGCAGGGCCAGGAGTTACTCCTGAGCATCACCAGGTGTGACGCAAAAAGCAAAAAGAAAAGAAAAAAGTGTAGGGGAGAGGGTCAGAAATCACTCTGAGAAGGGGCCGGGGGTCCCTGTGTGCCCTAGAGTGATGAGTTCAGTGGTGCAGTGGAGTGTTGATGTTCAGAGTCCCCGCTTGCCTTCCTCCCTGAGGGGACGCATCCTACAAGCTCCCACGGCTGGGTCTCGGCCACCTCCCAGCCCACACACTGCCCCCAGCCCCTGGTGGAAGTCGGGGTGTGGGCTCTGGGAGAGGAGCGGCCTTACCTGTGCTCCCCGGACAGCCCGTTCTCGAACACCAGACTCCTTGACAACGTCTTGTGGCCTTTGGCAGATGGAGGCTCATCGTAGTCTTCTATTCCCTTGAAGACACACCCGCAACGTGAGCCAGGAGGGCTACCCCCCACCCCACCCCGAGACCCACTGGGCCCCGGAGCCAAGACTGGAACGTGAGGAATCACCCTTCCATCTGGCGACCTTCAGCAAGCATGGCTGAGCCACTTTTTTTTTCTGGGCTTACCAAGTGGTCCCCAGGGGGCCCTGGAGTAATGACTGGCAATTCTCCACCAACCCAGCCGGCAGGTCTATGTAGGGGTCCCAGGAGGTCATGCTGCTCGAACCCTGCAATCCCAGGGGTTCCCTGGGGGCCCCCAAGGCTGCCCCCCGCCATGCTCAGGGACCATGTGGTGCCAGTACTGCCTTCTGGGCCCACAGTGGAGCCTGCAGGAGTGGTGCAGAGGTGTGTGGTGTGTGGTGCAGTCTGGTGCAGACAGCACGTGCCCTGTAACTGCAAAAGGCTGACACCCAGAGAGGCTCAAGGGACACAGGCGTTTCCTGGGGTCTGCTCAGCTCCAGATCTGGGCACAAGGGGTGGAAAACTCAGCATGCCCTGGGCAGGGGCCTCAGCTGGCGAAAGCCTGGGGCCAGCCGGGCAGCAGACTCCGCCTGTCCTCCATGACTCACCCGCTGCTTGATGGCTGCCATGACCTTCCGCAGGTCATGTGACGGGAGGGACTGCTTCAGAAACGTGTCAAACTTGCTGTTTGCCATCAGGATGTTGACCATCTTCCGCCCATAAAACCTGCCGTTGGAGAAGGAGCGAGAGCAAGAGTCCAGAATTGAAATGCGTCAGGCAACATGATGGCCACTCAAGACCCCTATTGCAACCTACAACACCCTAAAGGAAAGAGTGAGGAAAAGAGAGTGCCCTGCCACAGAGGCGGGGTGGGGTTGGGAGGGATACCGGGATCATTGGTGGTGGAGGATGGGCACTGGTGGAGGGATGGGTACTTGATCATTGTACAACTGAAACCCAAGCACGGAAGTTTGTAAGTCTACAACTGTACATCATGGTGTTTCACGGAAAAGAAAGAAAGAAAGAAAGAAAGAAAGAAAGAAAGAAAGAAGAAAAGGAAAGGAAAGGAAAGAAAAGAAAAGAAAAGAAAAGAAAAGAAAAGAAAAGAAAATGCATTGGGCATTGGTTTCATGGCCTTAAATGGTTTTTCCATTGACGTGTGAAACCATCAACCCCTTAAAGAATCGGGACAGTAACCCTTACCCAGCTCAAAGCCAGACTCAGAAAAGATTCCGTGCAACATGCAGAAATCTATCACCAAGAGAAACTGCACTGAACCAGTCCCCAGACTCTCTTAGCAGCTTTCTCTATATGTGTGCTTGTTAGTTGATATCTGAATGCGTATACAAGATATATCTATCTAGTTTTTCACTTTTTTTTATTTTCCGATTTTGAGACACACCCAGCAGTGCTCAGGGCTCTGTGCTCTGGGATGCCCCCTGGCAGGGATCCAGGGGCCCTATGGAATGCTGGAAATTGAAAACGGGTTGATTGTGTGCAGGGCCCGCACCCTGTCCACTGCTCTACGTCTCCGACCCCATAACTCCTCTTTGAAAGGACTGCCCACAGCCTGGCTTCCCTCCCAAACCCACCTCCGGCCCGTGCTGGGGTTGCCCTGCTCCACCGCGGTCCCTCCCCATGACCCATACACCCAGGCACAGCCAGAAAGGTTTCATTCTGACTCCAAGGCTAGCACGCAGATAGGGAAACAGACCCCTTAACAATCGGGGGGCAGGGAGGGACCCCCCCGCCAGTGAAGCAACAAAGCAGCAAAGAGCCGACACTTGGACCCCAGAGATCGGGAAAGAGCCGGTGGCTGGGGCACTGGTGGGAGACCGAGCAGGTGCTGGGTGGGGGGGTACAGGAAGAGCAGGCCGGGGTGTCGCCTCGTTACCTGGTGTCCTGGTTGGAGTCCTGCGCCAGCCTCACCAGGTTGTGCACCAGCATGTCGGTGCTGTCCCTGGTGCCCGACAGAAGTTTCTCGGCGCCGATCTGCTCCAGGACGGCCGACAGGTGCTCCGCCGTGCACTTTCGGACTAAGGGGTTCCGGTGGCTGAAAGGGGACACCGTCATGGCCAAGGGCTCAGGCCGGAAACGAGGGCAGTTCCCAGAGGGGTGTGTGTGACCCTGCGATGCTGCATCCACACTTAACGCCGGGAGGGACTCCAGAATCTGTCTCTTGGAGCCCTGGAGAGTGTCTGTGGGAAGCGCGCAGCCTGGGGGATGCCCAGGTGCCTTCTGACCTGCTCCCAGAGGCCCGCGTGCCCACTCGTTCTGTGCCCTCCTGAGCACGTGGTCTGCCTGGGCTTGAACGCGCCCCGCCGGCCCTCCAGGAGGGCCCTCCCAGCCTCCCGCTGCCCTCCCAGCCTGCGGCTGAGCTGGACTCTCCCTGCAGGTCACACACAGGCACAGTGGCCCCCCTGGGCCCCCCTGAGGAGGCACAGTCACACCCCAGTGCCCCTGGGTAGCTGGCACCCAGCACAGAGGAGAGAACTGAGACAGACAGTGTCAGGGCCCTGGGGTGGGGTGGGGGCATGGCAGGAAACCTGGGAGAAACCCCCGCCAGCTGCCCACCCGCCGGCCTCACCTTCCCCAAGCAGATCCTCTGCGTTCCACAGTCCCATAAACGACCCCAGTCCCCGGCCCCCAGGGTCCACCCCAGAGAAACGCAAAGGAGGACCTAGACTCTCCATGGCTCCGGGGCACAGGGTCAGCCTCTGAAGTCCCACCTTCCCTGTGCCTGGCTGCCCTGGGGATACTCAGCTCCCGAGGCAGTGACCCCAGCCATCCTCGGGCACGAGCACTGGCAAGTGCCACTGCAGCATCGTACACGGGCGAGCGAGCTCCCGACTCCTCTGGGTCAGCACCAGGCAGAGGACAGACCCGATGGAGGACGGAGGCAGGTTCTGCCAGAACTCTTCCCTGGATCGGCTCCAAGCCCACATCCATGCCCTTTTACAGATGAGGAAACCGAGGTCCCAAGAGGTCAATCGAATAACCAGATGTGGACCTCGCCCCCTTGCCAGAGTGCCCACACCTGCAGGGGGTCACGACACCCCCGGGGATGTTACCACCCTGACTCACTGGGTGTGGGAACTGCTCTGCCCCATGGGAGAAGGCTCTGGAAAACACTTTGGGGTTCCCATTTTTTTTTTTTGCTTTTTGGGTCACACCCAGCGATGCACAGGGGTTACTCCTGACTCTGCCCTCAGGAATTACTCCTGGCAGTGCTCGGGGGACCATGTGGGATGCTGGGAATCGAACCCAGGTTGGCCATGTGCAAGGCAAACGCCCTACCTGCTGAGCTATCGCTCCAGCCCCCTGGGTTTCCCTTTCGCTCTTGGTCCTCACTTTGGAGCGAGCAGACAGGCCTGCAGAAAGGCCAGTGTCCTGGGAGACGCTGAGGCGAGCTGGGGCACATTTGTCACCGCCCCGCCCCGCCCCAGCCACTGGATTCTACAAATGTCCTTCCCGGGAGGGACAGGCGCTGCGGGCCCTGGCCTCTTTGCCCCAGGGCTCCTGGACATGACCAAAGGCCACTGTGAGCAACCCCGGCTCTCAAGGGGATCCCCAGCGGCCCATAGCCCAGCCTGGACACAGTCGTCCCCAGCAAAGGATGTGACATTCTCACTGCATCCCCCTGTCCTGCCCTGCCCCAGGCCCACTGCAGAACCCCTGCTCTGGCCACAGACAAGCACCCCCCAACACACACACACACACGTACTAGACGCCGGCCGAGGTGAGGGCCACCAGGGCACGGGCGGGAGTCACGTGCTCCACCATGGCGCCCAGCGAGCTGTGGGCGGCCCTCTGGATGAACTCGCTGCTGTTGCCCATCTTCTGCAGGAGACAGCGGGCCACCTCCTCGGCCTCCTGGTCCATGTTCTTCTTCAGGGCCCGGAAGAGGTCGCCCAGCGTGCTGATGGCCAAGCGGGACACCTTAGAGCGGAGGTTGGTGACCTTGGGGAGAGACAGGAGAGGGACACCCTCCAGGACAGCTGCCCTGGTCAGCAGCCACTGTCAGCAGTTGGTAACTGCCCTCTACACCCCAAGAAGGAAGCCCTGGCCTCACGCTTTCCTGGGCAAAACAGGCTCGTTTCAAGAGCCATGGGGCCTACTCTGCTGGCCCTCCTAGTTGGCCGCACTGATACCTCCCAAGTCAGCCTGAGCCTCAAGGCCCTTTGACAAACACCGTGGCTACCAAGTGGGCACGGTGCATCCTCCAGCACGACCCCTCCTGCATCTCCAGGGCCGTCTGGGGGGTGGTGGAGGGGGCTGTGCAATGCTCCCCGCACCCTGTCGAACCGACCCCCAGAGTCGGCCCAGGGCCCTCCACCCTCCAACACAGGGAGCCAAGGACAAAGCAGGGAACAGAACGGGAGCTCCTGACCTCCCCCGCAATACCCTGAGATAAGAGGGAGCCCCGGCCTCAGCAGTTGGGGCTGCCTCCCTTCTTGGAGGGTCCCCTGAGAGAAGCGGGGGCTGACCAGGTTCCAGCTCCCCTCCCCCACCCTCGGGGGGCGCTGTCAAAGCACGTCAGAGGCCTCACCTCCCCGCTCACGGCCAAGGACACGTCGTGCAGTCTCACGGTGAGCACCTCCGCGTGGCAGGCCGCCAGGCGCTGGACACTCACCAGGCCCTTCTCCTTCGTCCGCCTGAGGAGCAGCAGGTCTGTCTCAGGCCCGTCACAGGCAGCGGGGACTCACCCCTCTGCACAGCTGGGGTGCCCCATCACCCCCTCCGCCCACCCCCGGCAGGTGCCATGGAGACTCCCTAGTAGGACAACCGGGCAAAGACCCCGACCTGTCTCCGGAAAGTCAGGTCAGGGTCCCCAGCTCACGCTCAGCCTTGCTCAGGCCAGGACAAATGCCCATGCACCGGCCGCCGGAAGCCAGGGCCACCACTGAGAGTGGGCAACATCCACTAAGACCTGGGCCCAGATCTCACTGTTCTCCAGAAGATGGGGTGTCTGCCCAGAGCAGGGGAAGGATGCCCGCAGATGAGGAAGAGAAATCAAGTGTCCTGACGCTCTGAGTGCCCGAAGGCCACGCCTGGCCCTGGTACACCAGGGGATAGTGCAGGGGGCTCCCTGGAGGGTCCCAGGAGCACATGCATACATGCATGTGTGTGTGCATGTGCGTGTGCGTGTGCGTGTGTGTGTGTGTGCGTGTGTGTGTGTGTGTGCAGAGCCACTACCAGGACCCCCCACCTTCCTTCCCTGGGCCAGGACTGGGGTGGGAGGCGGGTGGACCCTCACCAGTCACTGCTGTCCAGGCACTGGAGGGCGTCCGTCAGCCCCAGCTCCGGGTTCGAGAAAGGCCTCCACTCCTTACAACCTCTCAGCTCCAGCTCCTCTTCTTCCTCCCACTCGGGAGACCCCAAAGTCAGCACGGCAGGTAGCGAGTTCGCTGCACTCACAGGAGAAAAAGACACGGGCAGGTTGATGCCAGGAGGGCCCAGGGCACGCAGAGAAGGGGCTCCACTCCCTGGGTTCCCCCCAAGAGCCCCCCAACTCCCCTCACTGCCTCTGCCCATTGCTGCCAGTGCTGACCAGACCCTTACAGCCTGTCTGGCTGGGGCACTCCTGCCGTCCACACCAGCCCGGCCGGCTGGTGCCTCCCCGAGGCACGCTCCAGGTGGGGTGTACTGAGGCCCCGTGGTGGGACATCTGCGTGACTCTGCCTTAAGCTCCTCCCCCTCCCCCCGCCCTCACCCCTGAGGAAGCCCCCTCCCAGCAGGAAAGGGTCCACGGGCAGATCCAGGGGGCGGTGAGAGCTTCCTGAGGTCAGACCCCTCTGCACGGCTTCTCCTTCCCTATGGCCTGCCAGAACCATGGCACTGACAGCGAGAGCAGGGAGGGACGGTCCAGGCCCCCTTCCACAGTGGTCCCCAGCACAGAGGTGAGGTCCGAGAGACCCGAATGAGGTCACACCCACAGTTCCTCTGCTCCCCCAGCCCGACGTGCTCCCCACGGCATCTCCCCTCCGCTAATCCTCTGCTCTTGTGTGTCTCCTCAGGCAGAGTCTACAGGGGTGTCGCCAGGAGGTGCCTGAAGCCAGGCTGTGGGAAGCCCTTGCTGAAGGCCACAGCACCAGGACTTCCTTCCCATCTTCTCTTCTGCAGCTCAGCCACTAGGGCCACCAGGACCTTGTGTGACCTTGATTCTCCCGTGTGTGTGTGTGTGTGTGTGTGTGTGTGTGTGTGTGTGTGTGTGTTGTATTCAAACAGCACAGACCAGAGGGCTAGAGAGGAGACTATCTCCTGCTCATCAACCACTTCATCACTGCATCACTGTGTTCGCGATCTGCTTCCTCCTAGCTCTTCCTCACCTCTACTTCCATAGACAAGGAACTTCCCTCCTAATCAACCCCCTCATCATGCCCATCATACGTTTCTTTGAAAGAGCAATGTATGCTACTACCACCGTGGGTAAAGTAATAGTTTTGGCCATGAAAAAAGGATCAATATTTACTGGAAAAATAAAACACGGCAGACCCCCGCTGTCAAATCACAGCCAGGGTCCAATGGTTCCGAGCCACGAGCAGCAGCTCTGTTGAAAGGGCAGTTTAGCGGGGCCGAAGGGAGCGCGGCGGGCAGGGTGCTGGCCTCGCGGCGCGGCTGACCCGGCTTCAGTTCCTGGCACTGCACATGGTATCCTGAACCCCACCAGGAGAGACCCCTGAGCACAGAACCAGGAGCAATCCCTGAGTATGCCACCAACCTCTACACACACACACACACACACACACACACACCAGTTTTGCACACCTTCAGAAGGTGCCTAGGCTCCCGAGTCCGGAGGATGACTGGAGAGCCAGGCTGGTGGTATTATCTGCACCCAGCACCATCACTGACACGCCCCCACCCCCACCCCCAGCCCACAGGGCTGCAGCTCCACACCCAGCCGAAGCCTCCGAATGCTCTTTCAGAGAAATACAGGGACCTCATGTGCTTGCCCTGAACAGAGCTGCCCTGTCCTTCCACCCACTTCTGAGAGTCCGAGAGTCCCTTTCGGTCTCCAGAGCGCTCTCCCGCCTGCTATTCTGTGTCTCTTTATCCTGTGCTGTTTCCAGAGGCTTCTGAGGTCACTGCTGTTGTATCCTTCTGTCCCCCACGTGCCACAGACTCCTCCGTCTCCAGGTTGGACACACACCTGCCGTTCACCTGTCCCTAACCAGCCCCTCAACCCTTGGGACTCCCAGACACAATCTCTCTCTCTCTCTCTCTCTCTCTCTCTCTCTCTCTCTCTCTCTCTCTCTCTCTCTCGTTCTCCCTCTCTCACTCTTGTTCTCCCTCTCTCACTCTCTATCTCCTCTCTCTTTTTCCTCTCTTTCTCCTCTCTCCTCTGTCTGTCTCTCTGTGTGTCTGTCTCTCTGTGTGTCTGTCTCTCTCTGTCTCGCTGCCTCTCTATCTGTCTCTATCTGTCTGTCTCTCTCTCTCTCACTCTCTCGCCCTCACTCTCACTCTCTCACTTTATCTCCTTTCTCTCTTTCCTGTCTCTGTCTCTCTGTCTCTGTCTGTCTCTCTCTCTCCTCTCTCTCTCCTCTGTCTGTCTCTCTGTATGTCTGTCTCTCTCTGTCTCCATCTCTCTGTCTCTGTGTCTGTCTGTCCATCTGTCTCTCTCTCTGTCTGTCTCTCTGTCTGTCTGTCTCTCATTCCTCTCTCTCCTCTGTCTGTCTCTCTGTCTGTCTGTCTCTTTCTGTCCCTGTCTGTCTGTCTGTCTGTCTGTCTCTCTCTCTCTCTCTCTCTCTCTCTCTCTCTCCCTGTCTCAGTGCCCACCAGGTCTGCCTGGGCCACAGACAGCAGCCACATCCCCACGGTCACCTTGGTGTCCCCAGGGCCTCACCTGAGGCGTGGCGGGCGAAGCTGGGCTCCTGCTTGCTCACGGGGATGCTGGGCAGGGAGGCGCGGTTGGCTCGTCTCCTCAGAGCAAGCCCGAAGGTGTTTCTGTGGGGACTGCTCATCCTTGTGGGCAGGGACTGGGTCCCGCTGCCGCGGAGGGGAAGGAGGCCTGTGGAGGCAGAGAAGGTTCTAGAACAGACCCTTGCATCTCCCCACTGGAATTACCCCTCCGTGGACTGTGAAGGTGGGGAGGTTCCCTGTCCAGCCTCAGGCTGGGGGACAGTCGGGCAGGCCTGGGGCACTGGTCAGTCTTTCTTCTGGCTAAGGTGACGGTCCACATGTTTACACTCCCAGCAGGGCTTAGGGGCACCCAGCACCCAGTACCTTCCTTCGTCAGAGTCCTCCGGGAGGCCAGGCCCTGGGCGGCCAGCTCCCGTGCCCCGTCCGGCTCCCTGGCCCTCCGCAGCAGCTCCATCTCCTTCATCTGCTTCAGCCGCATCTTCTCCTGGGCTGACCTGGAGATGGTGACCTGGACCTGCCCGGAGAGGAGAGTCCATGGGCATTGGGCCTCCAGCGCTTCCTCCTGCCACTGGCAGTGACCCCCCACCCCAACCACCACGGGGCTCTCTCCATAGAATCCTGAATTTGGTGGCCTGTGTGTGTGGTGGGGGAGGCAGACAGACACATCCCCTTGTCCCCAATTCACACAGGGAAGATGTGAAGGCGCTTCCCTTGGAGGCCAGGAGGCCCCCAGACTCCTGAGGAGGCCAGATGAAGCGAACAGAAGCAAAGGGGGTCCAAGCCAGAAGTGCTGGAAGCATGAGCAGGGCCTGGGCCAGACTCCACAGAGGCCAAGGGTGTAGGGAGCTAGTCGGCAGCTCCCCATTCCTTCCTCTCCTCCCTCCCCCCTGCCCTCCTTACCACCCTCTCCCCATTCTAACACCCTGGCGGCAGGGCACGTGGTGGTTCCTGGACATTATGCTGCCCCCAAGGGAGCCCATGGTTCTCGGGTAGAGGTACTGCATGGGTCTCGGGAGGGCAGAGAATGAGCTCTGCGTCTGAGCAGGAGTCAGGAGCCCACAGGAGAGCGGCTCTGGCTCTCTGGCTTGTGGGGACATCACAAGCCTCTGTGGCTATCTTGGGGCTCGTGCAGATGACTTGGCTGGGTTCACCTAATACCTCTGTGCTTCCTTCGGAACACGGAACTGTGTGGGACCTCCTGCCCCCATCCCTCCTCCCCCCACAAACATCTCCCCTCACACAGACCTGGTTCCTGCCCCAGCCCCACCCGCCTCTCCAGTTTATCCCTCCCTCCGCCTCCGCACACCTGTCTGCAACTCTGGCCTGAGGTGCTGGGCTTGGGGCTCCCTTTGTTCCCCTCCGGAAGGCCATGGAAACACTTGGGCACAGGCCTGCACCTCGCAGCGCACCCGGCCCCATCTCCCTCCCGGGGCCTGGGTACCTTGGCACCATTTCCTTGGTCCTCTTCTCTGAGCTGGGCGTGGGCGTCTTTGGCATGACTGAAGGCAAAGGTTGTCAGCGTCGGCGTAGACTGGGATGAAGACAGGGCGGGCTTCTCGGGGGCGGCAGATCTGTCTCTGCCAGGAAGGGTCAAAGCTTTGTGCTCTGAGGGGCAAGAATAGAATGCTGCTGAGAAGAGCAGCACCCTGGAGGCGCTATTGTCCCCCGGGCTGCATCCCGGAAGCTGCGTTCCCCTGTGTGGGGGGGGCAGGGGGGGTATTTTACTCCTAAGTCCTCAATCCTGGGCTCTGCTGCCCAGTGGATGCCCGACGGAGAAAAACACAAATCCAATTCACAGAGAAGCACCGGCACACCTGGAACGGGACCTCCCGCCCCATCTCCCCCCTCCCCCACCCTCCCTAATGTCTCTTCTTGAAGGACAAACATCCTCTTCATTTCATTGGTCCATCCTTCATGCACCCGTCTGTGCACCCATCTGTGGATCCATCCATCAGCTACCCACCCATCCATACATTCATCCATCTGTACCGTTATCCATCCACTCATCATCACCCATCTGTCCATCCTTCTATCTCCCCATCCATCCACCCCATCCACCTATCCACCCATTCATCCATCCATCCACCCATCCATCCACCCATCCATCCACCCATCCATCCATCCATCCATCCATCCATCCACTCACCCATCCATCTACCCACCTACTCATCCATCTACCCACCCATCCACCCACCCATCCATCTATCCATCCATCCACCCACCTGCCCATCATCTATCCATCTACCCACCCATCCATCATCCACCCACCATCCATCCATCCATCCATCCATCCATCTACCCACCCATCCACCCACCTGCCCCCCACCCCCATCTATCCACAACTCCTGCATGTCTTATTCTAAGTCAGAGGAAGGAAGGGGGAGGGAGGAAACATCTGGAAACAGGAGCAGATCCATCATCTCAGAGGCGAGGATATTTCCTGAGACTAGAAATACATCTCAACCGAGCATGTACCTCTGGGAAAGAAAAACTAAAACACGTCACCGTCTTTTCCCATCCTCCCATGACATGTGCGGAGGGGGCAGAGATTTTTATTATACTATTAACCAGTGCAGCCCTGCAACCTTCAGGTGCTCCTCGGAGATAAAACACAAATTCATTTCCAATGGACTTCAAATCCATCATTTCTGTTCCTGTACCACGTCTGACTAGAGGTTGGATGGGGCCAGTTCATTGGTTTCGCTTTATGAAAGATGAGCTCGTCAGGTTTCCCTGCTCACAGCATGGAGCTCATGGGCTTTGGGTGAAGCTGCACTGGGGGTCTCACACCATGGGGTTCCCATCTGGGGCTGTCTGAGACTGCAGGGCATGTAGAGGTTGGGGTCCCTGCCAGGCCCCCAGGTCACCCCATCTCCTGCCCAGCCTTTCAGCATTCTCTGAAGGATCTTTCTGCAGGAGACTCTAAGAGGACCAAGGGCCGGGACCTGCACAGACCCAGAAGTAAGAAACAGGGCAGAGAGCTCCTGTGCCCAGATGCCAACTGACAAGGCAGAGAATGCAAGAATGCCACAGATTGGGAAGCCCTGGCCTCAGACAGCCCCGAGAGCCCCCGAGCTGAGAGCCGGAAGGTCATCCCGCGAGCACTGGGCATGGTGTGTGTCTTCCCAGCACCACCTCCAAAAACACCCAAATGCTTGTCCTTGCAGCCTGCTACATGAGTCTGAAGCAGCACACGGGGATAGCAGACGAGGGGACAGTGAGGGCCCGTCTCATGTCCAGGGCAGCTGGCCAGGGAGCAGGAAGAACATAGTCCCGTGCGGGGTCCGAGCCACAGCCACAGGGGAGGCCGCCCTGGACTGTCAGGACGCAGCCTTGCCCGGGGCCAGCCACGACACCTGCCCATCCCAGAGCCGGGAGGCTGGAATGGGACGGGGACCCGCCCTCTGGCCACTGCCCACACTCTAACCCGCACCTCCAGCCCAAGCCATCGTCTGTACAAGTCCTCCACGACTGAGTCCCTCCTGGACCTCTGCCCAGCATGGACATCCCCTGACCTGGTCTGTTTCCTGGTCTGTCCCCTGGTCTGTCCCCTGGCCTGTTCCCTGGCCTGTCCCCTGGCCACCAAGACCAGATGACCCAGGCCTTTGTGGGGTCTGGCCTCCCCCACCGGCAGCAACCCTGGCTGTGTGAGCATTAGAGGGTCCCGATCCAAGTGGGACCCCACAAGACCAGCACAGCTTCCAGGCTGCAGAGAGAGGGGCTGGGGGACAAGGCGGACTCTTAGGGGTGAACTTCAGGTGGCCTCGATGGGGATTCAGAGGTGAAGTTGTTCAAACAATCCATCACCAGTAAAAACAAACAGAACCCCACGCCAAAGCCTCGTGCCAGCGTCCAGAGGGCATGCATGGCCCTGAGAGCAAAGAGGGACCCCTGCCTGCTCCTGGCCCAGGAGAAGGGACAGCTCCTGCGTGTCCCCGTCCCTCCCTCCCCCTCAGAGTGGGAAGCACATCCTCCCTGCCCAGGGGCAGCAGGCCTGGACACAGCCGGGGTCAGCTCTAATGTGGCACGGCAGCCATGCAGCTCCCCTCGCGACAGAAGGCCCTGGAGGGCTCACCCTGAGGCTCGGGGACTGGACGAGGCCTCCAGCCCTGGACACCAGCTCCCGCACCCAGAATCATCCCGATTTGGAACCCCCTGGCCACAGCCTGGGGCCTGGCGTTGGATACGAGGGCAGGGCAGGGAGCCGAGCATGGACGGTACATACCCAGAGACTTAGGGGTCTTCTCCCGAGGCCCGCTGTCCCGAGACAATCTTAAAAGAACGGGGAGAGAAAAGCACCGTGAGAGATGTTGATGCGGCAGTGTGTGAGAGGCCGGGCAGGGTGGCTGCAGGCAGAGGTGCAGCAAAGGGGCCAGGTAGGGGCTGGAGTGATAGCACAGCGGGTAGGGCGTTTGCCTTGCACGCGGCCGACCTGGGTTCGATTCCCAGCATCCCATATGGTCCCCTGAGCACCGCCAGGAGTAATTCCTGAGGGCATGAGTAATTCCTGAGTGCATGAGCCAGGAGTAACCCCTGTGCAAAGCCGGGTGTGACCCCAAAAGAAAAAAAAAAGCAAAGGGGCCGGGCAGAGGGGAGGGGGTTGCTCCAGGAGAGACACAGGTCCAGGCTGGACTATGTGGCACATGTGGCTCTCCGTCCTGCTTCTGGAGCCTGTCCCCGGGGTGACCCCCGTGAGACCTCGCCACACTGCACCAACAGGCCCGTAAGAGCTGCCGGATGCCTAGGGATGCTGAAACCATCCTCTGCCTCCCCAGGTCCCCGGGCAGTGGCTCCCTTTTCTGCTGAGAGGAAATCTGCAGCCAAGAGGAACAGCAAGAGGACACGGGCCTCCTGCCCCTCCCGCGGGCTCAGCACGGGGATCCTGCGATGGCCGAGCATCAAACGCCCACTGTGGCTGGCGTTGCGCTGTAGGGGCCCCCAGGAGGACTTCCTGGCAAAGGGGCCCCCACACCCCCCAACAAAGGCCCTTCAATTGTGTTCAGTGCATGGTCCTCTTCTGGGGGCAAACACAGGGGCCCTGGAGCCTCAGGGCTGACCTTGGGGCTGACCGGGTCCAGGCCGTGACTGGAATGCGCTCGGCCTTTGACGATACACTTGGCACCGGGCCCCAGGGTGTGCTGGACACCTCCAGCAGGCGCATCCGCTGTGGCACTGGGCAACCCAAGGGCCACTGAGGGACAGAGCAGGGTCAGGCTGCCCACAGCAGCACAGCGTCATGGACGAGCCCCCGGGAGGGCAGGTGGGCAGTGGGTGTGGAGGACAGTGCGTGTGGAGGTTGTGGGCTGTTAGGGGGGCTATGGGCAGTGAGGGGGTGCTGACTTCCTTGGCTTTTCTCTCTGCGTCGTCTAGCTGCTGAATCCCTTTTCTTTCCTTTCATGAGGGGACACACCTGCAATCCTTGAGGGCTAGTCTTTGTGCTCAGGGACCCGTTGAGCGGGGGGTGGAAGCCAGGCTCCTGGCAGAGGGGCCAACAGCTGGATGCGGGGACCAGGGAGTGAGTGATGTGCTGACAGACGCTCAGTCCCCTGCTGCCAGCTACAATGAGCTGAGACATCCACGTGACCTGGAGGGCCAGTGAGCAGCTCTTCATGGTGGCTGGCGCTGGCCAGGGACCAAGCTCAGCGCTGTGGGGCCACTGAGATTGGGGGATGAGGCCCCGCCTCTGCCATGGACAAGTCAGAGAATGCGAGGGGGCGGAGGGAAGGTCAGTTTGAGGAGGGGGCAGGAGAGGCGCCACCCTCCATGCAACCGACCCAAGGAGGGCGAAGAGGGTGAGGAGACCCCAGGGCAGGGGGATGCGGCTGGGGCTAGGGACAGGCTGGAATAAGGGGTTGTCTTTTCACTGTCTTTCTCATGGGTGTGAGCCCTGCCATGGCCCACGTGTGCTCTCAGTTTCCCCAAATACTTCTTTCCTCGACTTCCCTCCCGCGTCTGCTCCAATGTCCACCGTCCCCCAGAGGCCTCTCGGTAAGAGTGAGGGCTCTCATGAGGGGTCTCGCTGCCTGTCCCCTGCTTCCCTCCCTCCCTTCCTCCCTCCTCCACTCGCCTGCTGCTCACACTCTCCCTTCCGGCCTTCCCGCAGCCTCAGGCCCCGCTCCCTCTCCTGCATGCGGCCAGGCCCACAGTCTGTCCATCTGTGCCTCGCACCTGTCCTGCCCAGGCTCCTGTCGGTGGGGACCAAGTCCAGGAGCCCCTGGACACTGCCTCCTGCCTGGGGTGTAGGTGGGAGTGCACGGCCTGGGGTGCAGTGCCAGAGCCGGACTGAGGGGAGCCCTGAGGGAGCCAGAGAGAAGGGAGAGCGACCCAGTCACCAAGGCCCGAGGGAAGGCAGAGAAGGGCGGGAAGGTGCGCTGCACACCCATGGTGCACACACGCATGCTTTCTCCCAATGAACACGCTCTCCCTCACGCACACTCTCCCACGTACACACACTCCCACATACACACGCTCCCACATATACACTCTCTTACATACACATGCACAGACACACTCTCCCCACAAACACACCCACGAGCACTCTCCCACATACACACACATATACTATCTTCCAGAGTTACACTGTCTCCTACATGCACAACATGCATACTCTTCCGTACGCACACACATGCACTCTCCCACACGCACATGTATGTACACTCTCCCACATAAACACGCATGCACACTTTCCATATGTTTCTCTGAAACATCACACTTTTTGTCCACGTACACACACATGCACACACTCTTCCAAATTCATCCATATTCTCGACCACACACTCACTCTCACCCACATGCATGTACATACACATGTACACATACGTGCACTCTCCCTCACTCACATGTACATTCTCCCTCTCACACGTGCTCGTATATAAGCAAGCTTGCTGTAACGTCATTCAAGCTGGCCACAGGGCTGTCCTCGGCCCGCAGAGGCGTCTCTGGTGACCAGCCATCAAGCGCGTCATGACAACACTGAGGTCCTCTTCCCCACTGGGCCCATCTGCCCTGAGCAGGGAGGTGCCTTTGCAAGTAAGTCCACAGGCTGAACGGGCTACACACACCCCACAACACCTCTATTTCCTGGACCCATTCATGAAGGAAATCCCTAGTGACAAAGAGCTACCGTGAGTTCCATGAACTTTAAAAGAACCTTTTAAAGTGGGCCTTATTCATCTCTGCAGGCGAGGGAATGACACTGGACGGCCAGCAGGGAGAGGCCAGGACACACGGCTGGCACTTCCCCCGGTCTGTGACTGCAGGTGGGGGCCCTACCCTTCACCTGGTGGGTGCCCAGAACTCCGCCCTGGCCCGAAGGCGCAGCCCTGGGAACCGAAGAAGGTGTGGAGGGAGGAGGCAGCGATCACCCGGGGGTGCTTACCGTGTGGAGGGCGCCCTCAGGCCAGTGAGGAGGGCGTCCTGGGCTGGAGACAGGAAGGCGGGGAAGGAGCCGGGTGGGCAGAAGGAGGAGGCCGTGGGCAGCCCAGCCTTGGGGATCGGGGGGATCACCAGGCTCCCCAGAGACTTGTGCATCTTCTCGTCATTGCAGTGCAGGTACTGCCCCGAGATCTGCACCTGTGGGAAAGCAGGTGGTGGTGCAGACCCCTACGTTCACATCTGCCCTGGGGGGGGGCACCTCTAGGCCCCTCAGCACTCACCTGTGCCTTCCTTCCTGCTTCCCAGCCACAAACCCTGCCCCCCCCCCCCCCCCCCCCCCGCGCTTAGACACCAGCTCTCCATCCACTCCGCCCTATTCTGATCCCCAGGGGGCAGTTTCTGGGCAAGAGTTCTCTGTTTTCACCCCACAGCTACCCCCGGAAGCATCTGACCCAGCCCTGGGTGCAGCCCAGAGAAGGCCAAGGGCAGGATGGGAGAAGTCATGGCCTCTGCACCTGACCGGGCTCCCCAGTGCCTCCAGGGAAAGTCGGGGCTCAGGCAGAGGCCGTGAGAGGCATGAGGGAAAGAGAGAGAGAGCAGAGGAAGGTGGGGAGGCGTGGGGTGATGCCCACTCACCTCCTGGGCATCAGGACGGCTCTGGCTGCCAGGCGGCGGGTCCAAGGGCTTCTCTTTGGCTGCGGTGGCCTCAGGGGTGGTGGGGATGCTCTGGATGGGAGGCATGGGCCTGGGAGCCCGCAGCAGCCTCTGGGAGGTGGCCCGGGGGATGGTGCTCCGAAGGGGAACCCCCTTGGGGCCTCCCAGAGGCTCCAGAGAGACTGCAGAAAGGGGAGACGTTAGTTCCTGAAGTCTGGGGGTGGCTGGTAACGGGAAAGTGGCATTGAGGCCAACCCACCCGGCCAGCACACACACGGCTTCTCCTGTCCCCATCTGCCACCTATGGCCAGAAACACCCATTGTAGTTCCCCATTTAAACTCAGAAGCAGTGGGGCTGGAGCAATAGCACAGCAGGTAGGACATTGGCCTTGCACGTGGCCGACCCGGGTTCGATTCCCAGCATCCCCTATGGTCCCCCGAGCACCGCCAGGAGTAATTCCTGAGTGTAGAGCCAGGAGGAATCCCTGTGCATGGCCGGGTGTGACCCAAAAAGCAAAAAATAAATTAATAAATAAATAAAAATAAAATAAATAGGGGGCTGGAGTGATAGCACAGCGAGTAGGGCGTTTGCCTTGCATGCGTCCAACCCAGGTTAGATTCCCAGCATCCCATATGGTCCCCTGAGCACCGCCAGGGATAATTCCTGAGTGCAGAGCCAGGAGTGACCCCTGTGCATGGGCAGGTGTGACCCAAAAAAAGCAAAATAAATAAATAAATAACTGTCCTTCCGTTGTTCATCCATTTGCTCAAGAGGGCCCAGTGACATTGTGAGACTTGTTACTGTGTTTGGCATATTGAATACGGCACGGGTAGCTTGCCAGGCTTTGCCGTGCAGGCGAGATACTCTCAGTAGCTTGCCCGGCTCTCCGAGAGGGGCGGAGGAATCGAACTCGGATCAGCCATGTTGGCTGCGTGCAAGGCGAATGCCATACCCGCTGTGCTATCGCTCCAGCCCATAAATAAATAAATAAATAAATAAATAATAAAATAAATAAATAAACTCAGAGGCAGAATTTCCTGACCCCGCGCCAGGCTGTCTTCACCTGGGCACCTCGGAGCAGGGCAGGTTGAGTTTCCCTCCCCGCCCCAAGCAGAACCCTGGCTGCTGAAAACCTCCAGAACTCAACTGCACGCATGCTCAAGGCCACTCTCCACGCACTCAGACGAGCCTTACCCTAGTGGGATCCAGCAGAAAAACCCAGGTATGCGGGCCTCATGACTGAGACCTCCAAGTCCCCTAAAATCAGGACTGGGCCTCCTCCCCCCAGCTCCCCGGTTTTCCAGTAGCTTGGCAGTCACACCCACAAACTGTCCCCAACACCATGGAATCTCATTAATGACCAAGATCCAGAGACTATAAACCAAAGCTCTCTGCAGAATTTCCTGGACCTCTTAAACTCTAGCCCACTTATGTACCAAAAGTCGCACACTTTTGTTTGGCTTTAACATACTTGCTTATATCCTCTTATATCCAGGTTTAAATGGCTCCAGAATGAATGTAATACAATAACATACAACAACCATCACACACTTCCCTCTTATTGTGGTGGGAAGGTGCTCGGTGGTGGTGTATTGGTGTTTGAATATTATCTGCAATGAACTATTGTGAATTACTTTATGAAAATAAAATATAAAAAAATTTCAATAATGATAAATAAATAAACTCAGAGGCAGGTCGGGCAGTGGGTGGACCTGGAGTGGGGACAGCAGGTTCTGGTCCCCAAGATGATGCAAGACCTCGGGCCAGTCCCTGGAGTCTCTGGACCATGATGATGATGGCGTGCTGGTGGATGTGGTGCCGGGGCAAGACTGTCCTCCCTGTCCTTGCACCTGACCATTTGGGGAGCAACTGTCCTGGATTAGGAAGACCTCATCTAAAGACAGACCCCCCCCCCCGAGGCTTTCAGCAATTCCATTAGTCATGTGTGGCCAACAGGCAGCCCCTACCCCAAGCCCCTCCCTGGCTCCCGATCTGCTGGGGGGAAGGCATGGGATTGGGTCAAGAGTTCACTACGGGCTTTTCTGATGTTGGGGGTGGGAGGGGTACCACTGAGCTCTCGCGGGCCATCTGAGTCCAGCTCCATCCAAGTGTTTGCCTGAAAACTGCCGAGTCAAATAAGCTTCTCCAGGGCCCAAGAACTAGCACAGAACTGAGGTGCTGGCCATGCTCGTGGCTGGCCCGAGGGCTGATCACCCCGAGCGCAGAGCCAGGAGCCAGCCCCCTGAACACAGCCAGGTGTGTTCCCCTAACACCACACAAACCAACCAGCTTCTCTGCCCCAGACTTCCTCATCCTACTCATCCCCTCAGCCCCTCCAAGGGTTCTGCTTGGCCCTTGGAGACTGGTGTGTTGTGGTCAGTCTTACTGCGGTATCGAGGAGAGGGAGGGAAGGAGGGAAGGAGGGGTCCCAAACCTGGTGCAGACCAAGCCCTCAGCATGCCCACCTGTGCAGGGGCACAGAGAAGCCAACTCAGCACCACTGTAAGGTCGAGGCCAAATGGGTGCCACCCAGGAGAGTGATGCCTGAACCCCACCTCTGAGAAGTAGGATGACAGGAAAGGCCAGAGGCTGGAGCACAGGCAGACGTCGGGGTATGAACTCTGGGTTTGGGGGGATTGGGGGTTTTGTTTTTGCATTTGGGGTTTTTTGTTTGCTAGGTATTTTTGTTTTGTTTTTTTTTTGTTTCAGGGCCACACCTGGTGGTGCTCAGGGTTTACTCCTGGCTCTACAGTTAGGAATCACTCCTGGCAGTGCTCAGAGGACCATAGGGGATTCGGGGGGTTGAACCCAGGTCTGCTGCATGCTGGCAAGCACCCCTCACTGGTGTTCTACTGCCCAAGCCCACCCATAAACTCAGCCATGCCTGTGTTCTGACAGACCCCTAAGGCCAGTGTAGAGCTGGTGAGGGTGGGAATGAGGGGTCCTGTGAACCCCAGGCAAGGTGGGGTCTCAGGGTGGGAGCTGGCAGAGCCCCACGTGCCCACCAAGGACCGCGGCCCTTGCACCCCGGGACCCCGGGGACCCAGACTCACCTCGGGCGGACGCCGCCAAGCCCTCGGACAGCCGCCTCTTCTTGAGCTTGTCCTTGATCTGGATGGTGTCCCGGGCCACGCTGTGGGCCTCCGACTCCCAGTCCAGGGCGGGCGGCCCCAGAGGCAGAGCCCCGAGGCTCCTGGGGTGGCCATTCCTGGCCGGCCAGTCCTTCAGGGATACAGCAGGCTGGAGGTGGCCGGGGTCAGTGGGGCCAGGAGGCAGCTGCTTCTCCGGCAGGACACCGGGAGAGGGCTGGAGGGAGGCTGCAAGAAACAAAGGCAGCACCTGGGTTCCACGGTCACTTCCCGGTGGCTGCCAGCCAGCCAGAGTCACCATCACCTCTTATTCATTCCAGCTCCCGGCAAGTCCCATCATGAGATACTCAGGGAGCAAAGGAGGGTCAACATGCAGCCCCCGTGCAGAGGCCATGAGAACTCCAACACAGCCCCTGTCCAGCGCACTGCCCATGTCCCCCATTCCTAGGCTCCACCAGGGGAATGGGTCCATCTGCAAACACAGTTCCCCAAAAACCCGGCAACTGTGGGGCCAGAGAAGGTGCTTCCCTGCGAGGCTGAGCTGAGATCACCCTATCTGGCCCCCCAAGCCCCACCAGGAGTGACACCACTGGGCCCACGTGACCCCATCAAAGAAAAACTCCCCCGTCACAGAGAACAAACCGCATCCCACACCCATCCCAGACTCCCTCGCGACGCCGCTGGGAAGAGCCAATGAGCAGTGAGCACAGCTGGGGACGGCCAGGGAACAAGAGCAGGTGGTCAGGGACTCTAAGGGACTCACGACCCAGAGCAGAGCACGCGTCCCCAACACAACACATGGCTCAGGAGGCAGCCGCCGAAGCCTCATGCACCTTCCTCGAGAAGGATCCAGAACCCCGGGTTCCTGAGAGGCCGGCACGGCAGATGCTCGGAGCCATTTCTGCCTCCGGCACATTCTCCTCCTGGCCGGCCATCCGGAGCCCAGCCTGCTGGCCAGGCCACAGGTGCCAGCAAACCAGACCCGGTGCCAGCCTCCACCCGCTGGGCCACCGGCCTAGACCAGGGTAATTGGAGTCTCCATCCAAGCCCTGAGTCAGGCTCTGTGGGCAGAAGGTCACTAAAGCAGCTGGACACTCAGGCGGCCTGTCACTGGACCCTGAGTGTCAACCCTCGGGCAGCTTTCCAGAGAGACAGTCACTGCCGGACCTGGGCTGGGACTGAGCTGTGTCTAGGAGAGCTGGTCCCGAAGGCCTTTCCCGGGCACCTCTCTGCCCACCTGTCTCCACTGAGGCTCAGAACTGAAAGGCCGGGCAGGATGCCAGAGGCCATTTGCCTGCAGCTGGGATACACACTCGGCCTCTCCCCAGCCGGCGCCTCCTCCAGGGTGCCCCCCAGGACTGGCACTCCCAGCTCACCTTCTGCACGGGGCTGCTGGCTGGCATCGAGGCTTCCTCCAGGGACCACCCGGGGCCCGGCTCCTGGCCGGGGGATGCTGCCACAGTACACAGCCACCGGAGCCAGGACTTTGGCTGGGGACAGAGCCGTGGAGGGTGTTTAGACCAGGCAGGGGACCAGGCAGCGGCCCCAGCCAGGCCCATACCAGCTGGTGGGCAGAGCACAACCCCCTCCAAAGCCCACCCCTCCATTTCCCCCAGCCTCACCCTCTCTCCATTGGTCCCTTCCCTCCTAGCTACACTCCAACCCTCCGCCCCAAGCCCTCTTGGTCCCCTCCTGTGGCCACCCTCCACCATCACAACACACTGACTCCTGGTCCACCTTGAGAACGGGGGCCAACCGCTCATGGTCACACCTACTGTGGTGGCCCTCCACGGCTCCCCACACTGGCCGGGCAGGGACACTCACTGCTGGAGTCGCCAGGCCCCGCTGACCGGCAACCTTCCCACACCTTCCAGCAAGTGACACCAGTGGCCACTGCAGAGGCGGGGGAGTCCCTGAGGGCAGGGCCAAGGCCCCCTGGGCCCTCAGCGGGTGGAGAGTGGCCTCGGGGAGGGCGAGGGCAGCAGAGACCATGAGCTGAGGGCTGCCCTGCCCTTCCCGTCCACCTCACACCCCTGCTTGCCTCTCTCCCGCCCCGGCTCCAGCTCTCGGGCCCTGCCGGCCCAAACGGGGGCCTCCCCTTATTCCTCTCAGGGTGCTGCACCCCCCCCAGGTGCACACCTCAGCACGTTCACTTCAGAGGCCCTGCCAGGGTGGCCCTGCTGGGTGTCCTGGCAGGAAGAAGGTCCTCACACCAGGAGTCTGTCCCTGTTCTGTCATCTGTGTCACCTTGGGCGACTCAGTCTCTTGGGACAGGTCAGGAAACCTAAGGGCTCTGGTGGGAACAGAGGCTCAGCCCTTCACAGCTTTTCTTTTTATGTAATACTCATGCTGCTTCTTAATCATGTGATTTTTTTAAGTTCTTGTCGTTGTAGGCATTGGAGTTACAAACCCGCGAGGGCTTCATGCCCCAAATGTCCCAGCACACAACCCGCAACCGCCCTGAGTGTCCGCTTTCCTCCACCAAGGGCCCATCACCTCTTCCTTCGAGCCCAGGGTTCTAGATTTTACTTCTTTCTTTCTTTCTTTCTTTCTTTCTTCCTTTTTTTTTTTTTTTTTGCTTTTTGGGTCACACCCGGGGATGCACAGGGGTTACTCCTGGCTCTGCACTCAGGAGTTACTCCTGGCGGTGCTCAGGGGACCATGTGGGATGCTGGGAATCGAACCTGGGTTGGCCGCATGCAAGGCAAATGCCCTACCTGCTGTGCTATTGCTCCGGCCCCACTTTTTTTTCTTTTTGGGTCACACCCAGCGATGCTCAGGGGTGACTCCTGGCTCTACACTCAGGAATCACTCCTGGCGGTGCTCGGGGGACCATATGGGTTGCCGGGGATCTAACCCAAGTCGGTCACGTGCAAGGCGAACGCCCTACCCGCTATGCTATCACTGCAGCCCCGTTCTAGATTTTTCTTAAGCCTTTAGGATCTCTCAGAATCTGTCCGGCAGAGTTGAGGGAGCCCTTGGTCGTGCGGCCGTTTCCTTTCAGAGCCCCAGTTGTGTCAGCGTTTCCCACCCTGCCCTGCCGCGCCTTGGGGAGCCGTCTGGGGCCTGGTCTTCTCCCATTCCCCTGGCGCAGGCCACGTGCCCCCAACTCTCCAGAGGATGCTGGGCTCATGCAGCTGGCGCCCCGGAGGACCTCAGTTCTGCACCCTGCACCAGCTGAGAGGCAGGGACTGGGCAGGGCCATCTGCATGACCCCCACACAACAAAGCAGCCCTCTGCCAGGAGTGGGGCAGGCCCAGGCTAGGCCTCTGAGCCCAGGCTAGGTGGGACGAGCCCTGGCCCCTCACCTTCAGAGCCAGCATCAGGGGTGCCCATGCCCTAGGCGAAGAAGGGGCCTGAAGGGGGCACGGAGTCGGCTGTGGGTCCGGGCCGGGGGGTGCAGAGGGTCTCCACTTGGAACATCCAGAGACCTGGGGGGCGGGGCAGAGGCAAGTCAGTCCACACAGTCAACGCTCAGCGGACTCAGCAGCACCCGCCCGGGGCCTGCCACCCTGATCCCAGGGACCCAGGTCGTATACACAGCTCACACTGACCTGGCGGTCACTATGACATGGACCCTGGGGGACCACAGAAGGTTGGACTTTGCCAGCGGGAGTCCAAAGCGGAGTTTCTCCTCCAAACCACCGAGCCCCTTCTGCAGACCCAGTGCGGAACTTCTGGTCAGCCTCGGCCTCCGGTCACTTCCTTAGCCTCTGCCCCCACCCCCTACCCCTTCACCCCTGCCCCAGCCATCCAATCTACTGTCCAGTTTTGGTCACTCCCTGCCTCCCTTAAACCGCAGGAGTCGGTCACCGGCTCTTGTCCTTGACCTACCGCCGTTTTCCTTCCAGCCAACTGGGACTCTCTCTGCGTAGTCTGCTGGGTCACCCACTTTTCCCAACCCTCTGCTGAGATCCCGGTGGCCCCGTGGCGCCCTGAGCACCCAGAAGGTGGAGATGCAGGGCTGACTGAGGGTGTAGGCAGGGAGGGGCCCCCGCTCCACTTTCACTTTGGAAAGCTCCCAAGACATAGAGCACCTGGGACCAGGCAGGTGGCTGAGGCCAAATCCCCACTCGGGAAGTGAGAGCCCTGTCTTCCTCCTGGAACCCAGCCTGCCGCCAGCCCCAGCCAGCCCCAGCCAGCCCCAGAGGGCAGATTCGCGCCTAGCAACCTGCAGGCCAAACAGAGGTCCCGACCTGCAGCTGCCCCAGGCAGCTGGCCCGACAGGTCTGCCGCACACCTCCTCAGTCACCCAGGACTTTTCGCACAACCAGAGCAGAGGGACACGGCCCTCTGGGGAACACTGTGATAAGGATCTGGGCCCACGGCAGGAACCAGCAGCCAGAAATGGCCATGAGAGTCCACAGCCAGGGGACGGGCCCCAGGCCTGACCAGGTCAGCTGGGAGAGACAGGCAGGCAAAAAGACTAGTTCGGGGCCAACAAACCAAGGCTGGCCGCAGGTACAGGGGACACTGGGCCCCCAGAAGCTCCTACTCCTGCAGGTTTCTGAGACTTGGATGTACAAGAAGAGGCCTTTGATCACCACCTCTGCTCTCAGCCTCAGCTACACACCGAATCGCCTAGAAAGGGCTTGAATGACAGATTTTGGGAAGGAGAAGGGGAGCGTTTAGGCATTTGTGATGGACACAGCCAACACTGGTTTGATCCCCTCCATGGTCCCCCGAGCAGCACCAAGTGACACCTGCACACAGAGTCAGGAGTAAGCCCTCAGCATGACCAGGGATAGCCTCAAAACAAACAAACAGAACAAGCGGAGGCAGACTCCGGGGAGGCAGACTGGAGGGGACATGAGGCGCCATGGTGATGGGGGTGGGACACGGTCTTGGGCAGTGGGGTGGGGCTGTGGGTGGGGAGGTTATGGGAATCTTGTGTGTTGAAACCATAAATGTTAACATTCTTTTCCCCGTGGGCTTATGCTATAATTTAAAAATCAATCATAAAAATTCAATAATTGGGGATGGAGCAATAGTACAGGGGTAGAGCCCTGCACGTGGCCCACCCGGGTTTAATTCCCGGCATCCTATATGGTCCCCAAGCACCATCAGAAGTAATTCCTGAGCACAGAGCCAGGAGTAACCCCTGAGCATCACTGGATGTGACCCAAGAAGCAAACACACACACACACACACATACACACAAACTCAATAATTAAAGTACAATAAATAAAATGGCAGATCCCAAGCTTCACCTCAGGCTTTGCTGAAGTGGCTTCTGAGAAACAGGCCACCAGGACCTTGTTTTGTCTTAACTCCTGAGTGAGCTTTGACTTTCAAACAGGCTTGAGGACCACTGGGCTGTAGTCCTGGTTCACTTTTTAATAAAAACCCCAGCCTTATTCTCATCCCGGGCTGTCAGAATATGCTGCTGCCTCGGTTTCCCCAAAGTGACCAATTCTCTAAGTGAGGAGAGAGATTTTTTAGAGGCCTGCGTGGACAGGCAGCTCAAGATGCTGTCACAGCCTCCACGCCATAGTGCCTCCTGAAAGGGCCGGAGAGATAGTACAGTGGGTAGGACACTTGTCTCGCACAGCGCAGACCCTGATTTGATTCCTGGCATCCCGTATGGTCCCCTGAAACCCTCCAAGAGTGATCCCTGAGCACAGAACCAGAAGTGAGCCCTGAACACCCCCAAACAAGCAAACAAAGCCCTTCTGTACCAGACAACTCAAATTTCACCTTAGTCACCTCACTCCCCCGTTCCCCAAGGGACCTCAGAGCCACTGTGTCTGCCTTTGCTAGGACAACCCAGAGGGCAGAGCCCATGCTCAGCCACCCCTCCCCAGGGCAACACCTCTGACCCATCAGGATCAAAGGGTCAAAGGGCAGTATCTCCTGTCCAGACTGGTGATTTCTGCTTCCAGATGGGAGACTCATCCATGTCCTCCATCTGCAGGAAGAGCTGGGGGTATCAGCTGCTCAGGAAAATCCCCTGGACCCAGAGCCCTGTGGTAAAGAACCGAGTCCAAACTACCACAAAGTGGAATCAGAAATGCCAACCTGGGGCCCAAGTTATCACTCACTTAGGGAATGCATGCGGCCGACCCAGGTTTGATCCAGCATCCCGTAGGGTTCCCCCAAGCACTGCCAGGAGTAATTCCTAAGCACAGAGCCAGGAATGATCTCTGGGTATTTGGCCAGGTGTGGTAAAAAAGGAAGGAAGGAAGGAAGGAAGGAAGGAAGGAAGGAAGGAAGGAAGGAAGGAAGGAAGGAAGGAAGGAAGGAGAGAGAGAGAGAAAAGGGAGTGGCAGTGAGGAAGGAAGGAAGGAAGGAAGGAAGGAAGGAAGGAAGGAAGGAAGGAAGGAGAGAGAAAAGGGAGTGGCAGTGAGGAAGGAAGGAAGGAAGGAAGGAAGGAAGGAAGGAAGGAAGGAAGGAAGGAGAGAGAAAAAGGAGTGGCAGAGAGGAAGGAAGGAAGGAAGGAAGGAAGGAAGGAAGGAAGGAAGGAAGGAGAGAGAAAAGGGAGTGGCAGTGAGGAAGGAAGGAAGGAAGGAAGGAAGGAAGGAAGGAAGGAAGGAGAGAGAAAAGGGAGTGGCAGAGAGGAAGGAAGGAAGGAAGGAAGGAAGGAAGGAAGGAAGGAAGGAGAGAGAAAAGGGAGTGGCAGTGAGGAAGGAAGGAAGGAAGGAAGGAAGGAAGGAAGGAAGGAAGGAAGGAAGGAAGGAAGGGAGGAGAAAAGGGAGTGGGAGTGAGGAAGGGGGAAGAAAGGAAAGAAGGAAGGAAGGAAGGAAGGAAGGAAGGAAGGAAGGGAGGGAGGGAGGGAGGGAGGGAGGAAGGAAGGAAGGAAGGAAGGAAGGAAGGAAGGAAGGAAGGGAGGAGAAAAGGGAGTGGGAGTGAGGAAGGGGGAAGAAAGGAAAGAAAGAAGGAAGGAAGGAAGGAAGGGAGGGAGGGAGGGAGGGAGGGAGGGAGGGAGGAAGGAAGGAAGGAAGGAAGGAAGGAAGGAAGGAAGGAAGGAAGGAAGACAGGCCAACCCATGTGTGGACAAAGCTCTGAAGGTCATGTGACCGACCCCCTGCCCACCCCCACACCCCAGCCGTGCACCACCACAGTCCGAGACACCTGACACTGATCTGCGTCCCAAGTAGAGACTGAAGTCACTGTCCGCTAGGTTCTGGGGACCAGGATTCTGACCTCGCTCCCCAGGATTCTGAATCGTGCGTGGAACCAGGCACCTCCAACCCAGCCTCATTTCCCTGGCTCAGGGTGTGGAGCACCCAAGGGAACTGACCATTGTCCATCCCCTAAAGCGGGTGGCCCCATGCCATGGGGCTGCTGGACCAGTCAGGGCTGTGTGGGCGCGGGGCGTAGTAGAACCTCCCCCCACCCCGCCCCATGGACTGGGGCTCTGGGGGCACCCTTCCAGCTCATTCACGTGAAGATCCATTTGCAAGCTGGCCGCTAAGCTGTGTTTTGTTGTCTCCAGAGAAGGGGCCTGTTGGCCTAGAGAACTTGGGAAGTGCCGCTCCAGAGCTGTGGCTACCGGCTCCCTGGAGACCCACAGGAATGCAGACAGGAGGAGGCAGGGCTCTGGTTTCAAGGGGACCGGCAACGACGAGCGAGCGGGGCCTGGTCCAGGGGAGGCCACTGGGTCCCCAAGGACAGCATCCCAAGTAGCGCCTCATCCCCCACCCACCTGGGCGCCAGGGAGCCCAGCAGAAACCCCCAAGGGCAGAGGGTCAGAGGAGAAAGGACGGGCTTGCCAGAGGGCAGGGAGGACCCAAGCCCCCCGGGTGTGACTGCTTGGCTGGGCCGAGGAGACCGAGGAGAAGGCCAGGCCTCAGACTCTGGGGCTCGGGAAGGAGAGATGAGGCAGGCGAAAATGGCCAGAAGGAGCAGAAAGACTGGCACCCAAGCACTGGCCAGGGTGGCCGCACCATCCAGAACAAGGACAGCCAACTGCGCCGTTTTTTCCCCCGAAACCTGGCCCCGGCCTCCTCCCTGCTGACCTGGACCAAGCCTCCGTCGCAGCGGCCTCCCCCACCCTCTCCCCAGAGCTGTCCTGAGAGCCACCTCTGCCATAAATGGGGGGACAGGTCCCCAACCCCTCACTCTGACCCCCAAGGCCCCTGGTTCCAGCAGGTGAGAGAAGCAGCCTGCAGCCCTCTGGGGTCCAGGCTGGCAGGGGGGGTCCGCCCAGCCTGCAGGGATTTCCGGGTGCCACCTTGGCACAGCGAATGGGCCCGGATGAAGCCACATCTCTACAGTCTCACCAAGAAGCGACGGCGGAGAGGCACATTTCTAAGTCCCAGCAGCAACCCCCAGGTGATGGAGAATGCATCGAGAGAGAGAGAGAGAGAGAGAGAGAGAGAGAGAGAGAGAGAGAGAGGAAGTGTGTGTCAGAAGCTCTGCCCCAGTCAGTGGACAGCAGCCCCAGGCGACTATTGTCAGAAATGACTTCACTCTGTGTTCGGATGTTCCAGGGGTGTGTTTTGGGACAAAAAGACCCAAAGGCCTAGCTGGGGCCAGGTGGCCCCCGGGTGCAGCCGTCTGAGCTTTCCGGGCTGAGACAGGACACTCAGAACGGTCCAATGACCATCACACGGGGACACACTCCCAGGGATCCCTCTGGGTCAGACTGTCTGCCGGAGGCAGCGCCCGCCAGGCGCAATGAGCTTTCCGACAGTGTCGGTCCCTGAGTCCAGGGACCAATGGACGCAGGGCCTCTCGGCTTGACGCCAACACCACAGAAGGGAATTTCTCCCTGTCACAGAAAGAGAAGAGGGCGAGCCTGTCTCGGCTCCGACATTAGCAACACCTCCTCCCCCCCCCCCCCCCCCCCCCCCCGTGACCACTACCTAGGAAATCTCACCTACAATCACTGGTCTTGGGCAAAAACCTCTGGATGGAAGAGAAAGTTTCATTGAGGCTGTGCTTGAAAGACAATGAAGGCCAGGATTAGGGCCGCCCTGTCCGATTGGCCAGGTTGGGCACTGCACAAGGTCATCCTTGTAACGGGGCCACCATGCATACTATTGCCCCACAAGTCTGCGAGTCCATGGCAGCCCTCCAAGGCTGGGCCAAGGGCCTGGGAGAAGAGGCATCTTTTTCTAACTCAAGCAAACACCTTGCCCGAGCGAGCCAGCAACCCTGGGGACAAAGAGCACCTCACATACACCTCAGTTTGCAAGAGCCCAGCCTGTCAGAACCTGCCCCCACATGGGGGGTGACCTGGACACAAACAGAGGAAGCAGAACCTGTGCTGGTCATGGACTTGAGTCCCACCAGATGGGGGGGCTGGATGGTGTCCCAATCTTTGCACTCAGACTTGGGCCTCTGAGGGATCCTGGAGGTCAGCAAGCTTCACAGCTGCTCCCTGGGAAGGTTCAACTGAGTGACTCCCAGTGACATCCCAAGGACCACCAGAGCCATTGCCCATCCCCTAGGCTGAATCACGGCTCACCCGGTTCCCTGCAGGGAGGGAGCTGAAAGGTCTCTCTTCCTCCCGGGAAGAGGCCCATCCCACCCCACCCCCTCCCCCAGCTGTGCCTGCCCCACAGTGACAGCTCACTCTTCAGCACACTGGGGGGCCTCAGCCGGGCTGGGAGCTGCTGTATTCACGTACTCCCAGGTGAGCATGGAAAGTTGTGCCCACCCTCTGTTTGGAGGATCCTCCCAGGATGGGAGATGCATGTTGAAAGTAGACTATGAACCAAACATGATTCCCACTCAATGCCTCTTTTGCAGACCACAACACCCAAAAGGAGAGAGAGAACAAAAGGGAATGCCCTGCCACAGGGGTGAGATGGGATGGGGGGATGGGGGTGGGAGGGATACTGGAATCCGTGGTGGTGGGAAATGGGCACTGGTGGAGGGAGGGGTATTTGATCATTGTATAATCGAAACCCAAGCACAAAAATTTGTAAGTCTACAACTGTACCTCATGGTGTTTCACTAATAAAAATAGTTGTGCCCACCCTCAGCCCAATTTCCCACCAATGAGGGCCAGACCTTGAGCTTGGCCAACTGGTATCTTGAATCAAAGGCAGCTAGAGCTTCATGGGTGGTGGTGCCCGTTGGCTGGCGTGGAGTGAGGCCCACCTGGCCTTAATACTATAATCATGGTCACCTTCGTTTTAAGTAGCCTGATCCCCTGTCCCTGGAAAGCTTTCTGCATGCTCTGGGGGTCCAGAGGCCCACTCCTGCAGGAGCTGGAGCTTGGGTCTTGCAGCCGCAGTCTGGGAACATGGTGGACGGGGGGGGGGGGGGGGGGGGGGCAGCAGAGTGTTGAGGGGCTGGAGAGGAGTAGAACATCTTTGAGCAGATTCTCCGCAGGCCTGTTCGCCCACACCTCACTTCTAAAGGTCTGTCTATTCCAGGAAAGAACGCTTGACAGAGGTCTCCGGGCCAGAAGCTGGGAAGGTTCCAGACCTCAGACCGGAGAGACCAGACCATTCCTCACCCTGTGGACCCGGGAGAAAATGAACCTCCCTTGCTCGGGTGTGTGTGTGGGGGGGAGAATCTTGTCCTGTGGATCTCTCTGGAGCAGTTACCAGTTTTTATCTGGGAAACTACAAAGGACTTTATTGTTTATGTCTCCCTATCATTTTATTGATGGTCCAGGAAGGAGTAAGACTTGGGCCGAGCACCAGACATTTGACTCCAAGACAAAGTGCTTATCTCAGACCTCTTCAGTCCCCGTCCCCCCCACCCTCTCACTCCCAGACTGCTGGAGCACCAGTCTGCAGTTCCAAGATGAGAACGTGTGACTGCTTTTGCACCAGACAGAGGGCCAACAGGAGTCCCAAAGCAGCACAGCGCGGGGCTGACGGCAGGTAGAGACCAGAGCACAGACGGTGCCTTGGAGGAAATAGGGCAGGGACAGGTGCTGACCTCCTGGGGATCAGGGAGATGCCAGGGAGAGACGGAATGAAAGGGCATCGTCATCTCTAAAGCTGACCACGGCCAAGCTTGCAGACACCGGGGCTAGAGAGACGCAGCCCCAGCTGGAATCCGTCCCGATGCCCAATAGGAAATGGAGCGAGAGAGTGGACCAGGGTCAGGACATGAACAATCCACGGTGGTGGAGGGAGACACACCTGATCGGACCCTGCAGGGAAACGCTCAACTGGCAAAGCCGGACCGAGCACGCTCCTTGGAGTCACGTTCGGTTCATGGCAAGTTCCCAGGAGACAGAGTAACGGTTAAGCGATACACAGACAGGTCAGACTCCAGAGGAGATCTGGGCACGATGCCCACGTGACGCAAAGGTCAGCCGGGAGTGTTCCGGCCGCTGAGAGGCGGGGGCGAGGGGCTGCAGGCGACCGTCTCACCCTTCATTAACCTGCTTGTGAGTTGGGCTTTATTTTCCTTTGGCTTTTGGCTCAGGCTCTAGAGTCCTCGGGAGAGACTCCCAGCTGAGGGTTTGGGGGTCCCTCCTGTTGGTGCTCAGGGCACCGGGTAGAACCAGGGATCAATCCTGAGCTCCTGCAGACAGCACAAGTGTTCCCGCCCTTGGCACTAGCCTCGGCCCTATTCCGGAGTACGTGCTCTTTCAATCACTCAGGTTTGACTTTTGGGGATTTAAGGGGGGAGGCCACACCTAGGCAGTGCTCAGGGCTTACTCCTAGCTCTGTGCTCAGGCATCACTCCTGGTGGAGCTTGGGGAACCACATGTGGGGCTGGGGATCGAACCCGGGTCCTCCGTGTACAAGGCAAATGCTCTATCAGCTGTACTATTGCTCTGACATTTCTCTACATAAAATTTTAAAACAAACTTCCCTGTGTCCCCTGGTGAGCCCAGGCTGCTGAGCTGATGTCCAGCCAGGGCAGGGCCACCCAGTCTGGGGTGGAAAACTTGCAGGGCCTCCTCCTGCCTGGGGGTGGGGGAGAGTCGGACTCAGAACTAGTCCTGTGCCTGGCCACTGCACCATCCGGCCCTCGCTGGGCACCCCTGTACTCTGCATGTCATCTCCGGGACGCACCCACAGAGTTGGCCCCTCTGAGATGCCACAAACAGCCCTAGAGGTTCCCGGCCCACATGGACCCTTGTCCAGAAGGTTGGTTTTGCAAGCCCCGGGGTTCAGGTCTGCGGTGGATGGCGACAGCACCTCCCTTCTCCACAGTAATAACAGGAGGGACGGGGGCATCCAGGGGCAGCCCCAGGGGAGGCCTGGGGGAGCCCCACTGGACAGATGAGGAAACTGAGTTCAGAGGATGGGCCCAACGCAGGGAGAATCTGAACCCAGAACTTCTGTAGCACGGAGCTCCCACTCACAGTGCTCCCTGTCTGGGGGCCTGGGCTGTAGGAGGGTCCCTGGCGCCTGGAGTCGACACACACACACACACACACACACACACAGACACACACACACACACACACACACACATTATACAGGGCACTGACAGACGCCTGGGCTGGCCACTCTCCGGGCACCGCCCCTGAAGGCCACACAGGAGGGGCCACCCGTTTTTTTCCTTCTCCAAATAGGCCCCTGGTGGGGACCGAGGACTCCGGCCCAGGCCACCCTCCCTCCTGCCCTGCCCAGCCCATCACCTCTCGCCTCTCCGTCCGGAGGCCGGGCCCTGCCAGCGGAGGACTCCAGGTTCCGTGCTCGCTCCACCGCCAGTGCCGTCGGGCGTCCCGGGAGGGAGGGGAGGTCAGGGCCTCGCCCGCCCAGTGCCCGGGGCTGCGGGCCTCCCGTCCGTCCGTCCGGGCCGGTGCGGGCGGCGGCTGGCTCTCCTGCTCGGTGCCGCTCCTGGAATAAACAGGGCTGCATAGCAACCGCCTCTCCAGGAGCCCTGTGCCCTGCGTGGGGGAGCCGGGAGCCTGGAGACCTCGTTGCCTCCGGGACTCACAAGGCCTCCGGGACTCCCCGGCCTATCCTGCGGGGCCCTGACTGCCAGGGAGAGTGAGAGAGTCGGCCCTGCGCTGTAGCCGCAGTGAGGGACCTTGCAGGCCGCTGCTGGCCACTGCCCACTGTTTTTCCCCTCGGACCCTGTTCTGGTTCGGCCCAGGGGCGGGAGGCAGCGAGTGGGCGCACCCAGGCCCTTGGCAGCAGACAGCGCAGGGATTGAGTTCTGGGTCAGCTTCCTCCCTCCGGGGTCACCTCTGCAGAACCTGCCATGACCTCAGTTTTCTCCTCTATCAAATGGGCATAAGGGGAGGAGGGACTTGGGTCACTGGCTGTGGAATGAAGTGGGTGCCTGGGACTTGCAGTTCCGTGGACCCCGACAGGCCTTCCCTGGAGACACCCACGCAGCAGGGAGCACGGCCTGGCTCCACCACAGCCTGTTCTAGGGACCGTGAGCCTGGCAGCACTCTGGGGCCGTTTCCTCCCCGATTAGACCCAGACTGGCACCTCTAGTGACAGCCGCACCCAGGCCCACCGCTTCCAACCGTGGTGGGGTCCAAGGGTCTAAGTGGCGGGCACAGCCCGGGTCCAGCCAAGGGCCACTTGCCCCAAAGCACTCCTCAGGTGGATGCCCCACCCCCATGGCCTGCCCCCTGCCCCCTCGGCCCCCCGCCACGCCCCCAGGAGCTGAGCATCCAGGAGGCCGGGTCTACTGGGCCCCTGAGGCCAGGCTCTGCTGCAAACCCACTGCCTGGCTTCCAGAACTTTCCCGGAGTTCTCGCCCCTTCTCTGAGGTCCTGCTGAGAAGAGCCAGAGGTCCTGCTCCCAGGAGCCCCTCTCACCGACAATGGGGCCCAGCACAAAATCCGCCCCCCCCACCCAGAGAGTGCCGGTCCTGGCCAGAGGCCACAGAGCCCACCGGCCTGCTCAACTCGGGCCCCTGGGGCCAGCCAGCAAACTATCCCCTGCGTCCCCGCAGCAGAGGCCAGGAGCAGGGCAGCCAGGGCGAGAAGAGGGGTTCCTGTGCCGTGTGCTGGACCCCCAAAAGGCCCTCAGGAAGAAGCCAGGTTGGCGGACGGGGAAACAGAGGCCTGGCCAGTGCTGGCCCCACTTCCAGGGCTCCGGAAAGCCGATCTTCAGCCTGAAGCCAGACAGGCCAGGCCACGTCGGCTCCACCCCACCCTGCCCCTGCGGACGGGCCAGCAGGGGCATTTCCCAGGGCTGCCTGCCCCGGCGCTGGGCCAGAAGCTGGGGACACAGGAGGTCACCACACACACACTCACACACTCACACACACTCACATACACACTCGCACACATTCATGCACACACACTCACACACATTTATACACATACTCACACACTCACCACACACATATTCAGACACACACATTCAGACACACACACATTCATACATACTCACGCACTCACTCATACACACTCACACAGTCACACACAGTCACACACACACATTCATACACACTCATACACACGTTCACATACGCATACTCACACACATACACACACTCCCACACCCACACACCCACATACTCACACACCACACTCACTCACACATGCACACACTGACAAACACATACACTCACACACACATTCACACGTGTACACACTCACGCATGCATACACACTCACACACTCACACATGCACACACACGCTCACACACTCACACATGCACACACTGACAAACACATACACTCACACACACATTCACACGTGTACACACTCACGCATGCATACACACTCACACACTCACACATGCACACACACACTCACACACTCACACATGCACACACTGACAAACACATACACTCACACACACATTCACACGTGTACACACTCACGCATGCATACACGCTCACACACTCACACACGCACACACACGTGTACACTCACACACATGCATACACACACACACACACACATCAGGGCAGGGAGAAAGCGGGCAGGTGGCTCAGACACAGTCTGGCGCCTCCTGTGACAAGGTCGGAGCCCGCTCTGCCCCAACTTGGCCATGCAGGCCCCTGTGACCTGGGCTCAGAAGCAAGCTCTCAGCACCTGGCTCCCCTCGCCGAGCTGGGGACAGGGCGGCAGCTCCCCTCCCTGCTGGGGCCCCCCTGGCACTGCTCCAGGCCCCTGTCCAGGCCCCCTACAGGAGGGGAGGGGAGGGGCCCAGGGCCCTGAGGTGTGGCATCAGCCTGCAGCTGGCCAGGTGCCCAGTGGGCGGAGCTCCTGGAATGGCTGAAGGCCAAGCCCGGCCCCTGGGACGGAGGGGTGGAGGGGAGGAGTGGCCTCTGCCCTCTGGGCTCTCTCCGGTAACCCAGATGAGGCGATCCCAGAAGAGGACTTGACTCTGGGCCCCAGGAATTCGCGAGGACTGATTGTGAGAGACCAACACTCAGGGGCCAGGGGAGTTAGGACAAAACGTAAGGCACTTGCTATGCTTGCGGCCAACCCGGGTTCAATCCCCAGCACCCCCGTAGGGGTCCCTGAGCCCTTCCAGGAGTGATCCCTGAGCACAGAGCTCAGGAGTAAGCTCTGGACACCACCAGGTATGGCCCAAAACAAAAACAGAATCAATACCCACCTTCGTTTCAACTTTGTCTTCTCCCTTAAAGAAACCCCCAAATTGCTTGAGCTTCAAGACCCTTGAAATTTGGGCCGAGCTTGGTGGAGGGGATGGGGTGGGGGAGGTCAGAAGGGTCCTCCAAAGGAAAAAGGCTCTGGTAGAGCACAGCAGCCAGGCACGTACCTGTACAAAGCCTGACCCACGCCTAGGTATCAGCACATAAGCCCCACCTGGATCACGTGGGTCCCCCATACACACCTCACACTTACACACATGCACATACACCTGTGGGCATAAACACAGAGACAGATCCACACGTGTGCACATGGACATCTGTGTTCACCTACACAGAGACAGATGGACATACCCTCATGGGAAAATGCAGTTACACACGGACACATCCACCAACACCTAGGGCCTCATGCATGCACACACACACACACATGCACACACATGACACGTAAGCACCTACATGCACAGGCTCACATCCCAGCTATTCACAGGCTAGTATTCAAGCACAGCACTAGGATAAGAGTTGTGGACTCCCAGCCCCCGGTTCTTCCACGTGCCCACAGCAGACCTCCTCCGGAAATAGGAAGATGCTGAGGAAGAGGAGGACCCCCTGGAGGAGGTGTCTCAGCCCAGGTTCAAGTTCAGACTCACTAGACTATGCTCCCAGGAACTGCCCGGAGTAAGGAGAGCAGCTAGGCACATCCTTCCCCAGCGTCCTCTGCGACAGCCCCTGCCCATCGGGCCCCAGAGCTGCCCATGTGCGGTACCTTGTCAGGACGGCCCCAGGAGCATGTCCAGGGGACACTGACGGCTCCTGCCTGGGAACAGCTGAGTGGGATGAGGATATCCCTGGTCACTCATCTTCTTTGCCTCTACTGCCCATCGGGAGCTGAGATGCTTGGGTTTGGCCCCTGATGTTGGAGGCGGGGCGGAAAATGGATCCTATTTCTCCAACTATCTCCGCAGTCACACTGGGCTGGGTGGACCCTGCCCCTGAAGGGTCTTTGCCTGAGGTCGTGTCTCCTGGCTAAGACCTCAGGAAGGTCTTAGATCTAATCCCACCGAGCTAGGGATGAAGCTAACCACGGTGGCCCTGCCGTCCTCTACACATGCCTCCATCACCCCTTCTTTGCATCACACCAACTCTCCGTGGTCTTGTTTGTCCCCAAGTTCATGTCCCACCATCTGGAAGTCCTCTGAAGACAAAGCCCAGGACAGAGACAGGCACAGGCCACCCCAGAGCACTGAAGAAATGAGGGGATTTGGTGCTAGTCTCTTTGGAGTGCGCAGAATAACGGGTCACGTGCAGGACTCTGGGAAAGAGACTAAGTCCACTGCTTGCCCAGCACCTGGGACAGCCACAGAGAAGTGCTTGGGGGAGGGGGAGGATGCAGCCACCCCCACCCCCCGCTCTAACTCACCGCTGCACTTGGTCAGTGGGAGACGATTACATTTGACCCTATTTGCTGAATTTAAATGTCACCGTGAGTCCTCGTGGCCTTGCTGATTTGTGTAATGAATTAAACTGCTCCTATTTCCGGAAACATCCAGGCCAAACTCTCCTAAGGACAAATCCAATGTAAAATGCCTGGATGTTCTGGTGAAGGCAGAGGCTTCAGGCGGGAACACCCAGAAGGGCGTGGCAGCCCAGGCTTCCCCACTCCTGGTTCTGGGCAAAGGGCTCCCTCCATGTGCACCCTCGTCCCCTCAGTCTCCCCACCACTGTCCCCTCACCTCCGCCGTTTCCTGCACTCAGCACCTTAGTGCAACTTAGTCCCTCACACATGCACCAGGCTCAGGTCTCAGGATGCCTCGGACTAGACTTCTATTCTGCTCAGGAGTGGACAGTATTCGTGGTGGCCGTGAGGGACAAAGCCTGGCCACAGGAAGGGACAGAGGTGGTTAAGTGACATTCTCATTCCCCACCATCTCATCTGCTTTTCCCAGCAGCAGGCCTGACCCCCAGGATGGCACGAAGCAGAGCTCGGGGCAGTTCTCACCCCTGCCAGGAGTGCCCTAGCCATGGCCAGAGGTTAAGTGATAGGAAGGTCTCTGGGTGGGGGCAGATGCTCAGGCTGGGCCTCCCCTGATCTCTGCCTCAGTCTCCCCCTCTCTGGATAGAGTCTTGACTAGCGACATGACCCAGACAAAGAGACAAGAATGTGGGTTCCAGTCCCAAACCTTGCTGTAGGTCTTCCTACCAGCCC